TAAGTTTCCATGAATGAAGTTTATTCGTATCTCTCATCACATCGAAGCCGCACATCCAATACTATGGTGATCCCGTCAAGAATCCAAAACCACGGTTGTTTTTAGGTGGGAGTCCAGGGCATAGCTTAAGGATTTCATTTAGCTCGGACAAATGTCTTTCCGTTTTGAAATCTGTCCGGACATGCCCGGACATTTTCCACAACACATTTTCAGGGTGTTTCTTCTTTTTTTTAGTAGTACTGAAGTATATTCACAATGACTCATTATGTGGACGTATCTCACACATTACTATGTACAATTCGCCAATTTATTTGTATTAGAAACTGAACTATTTACTGACGACAAATGTATGTACAAAAAAGCGTTGCAGTCAAGAATTTTGCGAACGCGATATGCTCCTTGCAGAGAAGGCAAGTCAGTTCGAATTTGCGTCGTGCAATAGCGGCAGCACCATCGTCCATCTCGCACAGTGCCTTCGCAATTGGAGCGAATTCGAGGGCATTTCGAGCGGGACACTCTTGCCTGCGGAAAAGATTCATTCCTCGTTTATGCATCTCCGTTCCAGCATGATGCTTGAACGCTGATGTTCTCAGGTTCTTGGATCCAGTTATGAAAGCCTCGCTGAAGTTTTTACAACTGCGGACTCTGTCTACAAACTTGATGCACACGGAACACTTCAAACATTCTGCTAACAGCCGATCGTTCTTCTGCCGGTCATAAATCAGCCAGGCGGAAGTAGTCAGCTCTGACCGAGATCCACTTATCGCAAGTAGCGGCCTTCACACCACGGACTTTTTTGCCCGGCGGCAAGTCCTCTGAATCTCCCTTTCGCTTTCCAGAAGACATTCTAAAAGACTATCTGCATTCCTGGTCAGTGAAAGAGTGAAAAATAAAAGATGACATTTTCCTCTCAAGAGCGAACAACGGCACTGCAGTTCAACCCATCGATTCAGGTGCGAAGTCGACACCATGTACCAAAGGTCGAAAGTGTGAATTGACTTTCACACTTGCCACGTGATCGTTGCCACGGTTTGACCCAATCAGAGCGGTCACAGGCTGGGCATGAACCTCTGATCATGCCCTGCCAGCCACGTCTACTACCATGCACCGCGCTGTACACCCCATCACGTGATCATTCATGCCCTCCTACCATGTGTGAATGAGTATATTCACACATGGTAGGAGGGCATGAATGAATGAATTCACACATGGGTATATTCACACATGGCCATGGGATATTCGACATACATGCGTGCCATTCAGGCCCTTGACCAATTAGCACGTCCCGAGAGCGTGTACGTACATGGTGTGGAGGTGAAACTGAGCACGACGGGATGAAGGTATAAAAGGAAGGTACTCCTAGGGGTGGTGGTCGGGGACGTGGAGGACTCAGCTTGTGAGCTTCACGTCCGTACTCTCTCTCTCGTCGACGGTCGAGGGCTGCTCGAGGGCCTGAATCAACTAAGCCCGAGAGAGTACGGACCTGAAACTTCACCTTGAGATGACCTGAATCAACAAAAGATGAAACTTCACCTTGGTCGACATGAAACTTCAGAACTGAGAGCCGAGAGCGCACGGAGCTAGCTGGAACTTCAGGACCTGAAACTTTGTGAGCTGAAACTTAAAAACGAAACTTCAGAACGAAATTTCAGCCGTATCGTGCGCGGTCGAGGGCTTGCCCGAGACCGCACGGAGCTTACTTCAGAACGAAACTTCAGCCGTGCGCTTGACGGCTTGCCCGAGAGCGCACGGACGTGGAACTTCAGCTTGTGAGTTTCTGCCATTGTTGTGCAACGAATGCCATAAAGGACTTGAGAACTTGGGAAGGCAGGCACTCGGTGTTTCTAGTTGATGTATTTCAAGTTCGATTTATGTAGATTAGTGCAGTACAGTGGCTTTGTTTGCGCTGCTAGCATGCTGTGCGCTTGCACGTGCACGTTCTGCTGAGGAGAGCGTTGTGGCTTTCGCTTGTGCTGTCCTGCGTGGGTGACAGTGTGAAATACAATCAGACATATCCGTCAGGGCAGGTATCGTTGATTCCGGCCCTCGAGCGGCCCGCGGCCTTCGGCCTTGGGCCGCTCTCGGGCCTGAATCAACGATACTGCCCTGACCTCCATGTCTGATTCTATACATAGCAACCGCGTTGCTACAGGCGGATTATGGTGAAGTCTACGCCTGAGGGATCGAGGCTACGGTGTAGACGTGTTGTACGATATGCAAGTCGCATTTGGCACGAAGCTCAGAAGAAAGCCCAACTCTGCATAAAAAGGTCGAAAGGTCGCTGCTCTTTTTTTCCTTTTTGACCGGACACTATGTCCGGTGAAATTGAAAACGTCCGGTCAGTGGCCGAAGATGGCCGGAATATGTCCGATGTCCGGCCGTTAATCTATGCCCTGGAGTCAGTGTTGGACTGAAGTGATAAAAAAAACAGATGGCATAGTCCTGGTAGGTATGACTGCACTGGGGAAAAGGACGGTGAAGAGCTGGTTACCATAAATATACAGTGGAATCGAAGAACATAGCCCGAGAATGCCCAGCCTGAAATGCTCTAAGTCTAAGGATGCCACAGCCTAAAGTCAAGAACATCGGTGTTGATTTTCTGGCAGCTTTTGCGATACATTATGTGCGTGCGTACAGTCCGGTATGAATTGTTTTTTAAGAACGCAGCCAGATTGCTCAAAGGCAAGGGCGTTCCAGCCTGATGTCTTAGAAACAATATTCTTAGATGAGCGACTCTGCTATACAAAGACGGAGACGCTGGTATCGGGGTGCACTATAGTGATAAGACGAACAAGACCCTAAGGCCCGAACACCATAGGATTATAAGAAATGAGCCCTGGGAAAAAGCTAACCAAAAAAAGAGTCTGACTACCGAGAACATCAGTAAACTCCGGTTCATTTCAAACAGACCACCGTTGACAGCAAACCGTTAGTGAACATAGACCTCGAGATGATTTAGCCATACACCAGCCCATTGCATTTTGGTGTTGGAGTGGAAAAGCGTCGCCCGAAACCTCCCTATTAAATACCTTTGCGAACTCCAACAATGTCACCAATGAACTTACAATTTATGTAGTATGTGATGGGATAGTGCATTGTATAAAATCATGATGATGTGTTTGTGTGTGTGTGTTTGTGTGTGCACGGTCTAGGAGCTTCTGAAGCCAGGCAAGGACAGCTGGTCCATGTCGGAACTAGTGCATGCAATAGTTGTGATGACGCATTTCCACGCCTTGGCGGGCTTTGCGCTAGGCTGTGGTCTTAATCCAGAGGTCGACACCAATCTTGGTCATACCTGGGAGGAACCCCTCGTGGTAAGCTTGTGCAAGCGTTGTTGATAATACATGTTGTATTGGTGTTGTTTGGTTTGGTTGCATCGGTGTCTGTACTATGAACGTCATTGTCTAGGTCAGGGTAGCTGGTTGCTTCAGTATGGCATTGTTTGTGTGTGTGTGTGTGTGTGTGTGTGTGTGTGTGTGTGTGTGCGTGCGTGCGTGCGTGCATGTTTGTGCGTATGTGTGTACTCGTCCTACAGCATGACTGGAGTGTATCCGATGCGGAAACAATATCACCGTGCAGCTCCGTGAACAGTCACGCCAGCACAGTGGTGATGGCAACGCCAGCTGCAGCAGCGGCGGCGACTGCACCCGCTAACAGCAACGGCTCGTCTGCTCACAACTCGTCCCCCGGTTCTGCACACTTCCCCACGTCTAGTTCTATACCGTTCTGTTCTGTTCCTGCTAACGGACTGCCCGGCAGCATTGGGTACCCGGCATCGTCTTCACCGCCCACCAGCCACTTCTCTCTCGGCGATGGTGAATACGGCACGTTCTCCTCATCGCCTACCTCTCCGTTTGTGACCAGTGAGGCCTCACAGGAGAAGCTATTACGCGGCATGTTTGAAAAGATGAGCTTGGTGCGTGCCGGGTCTGACTCAACGCTAACCGTGGAGGATTGCCAGGAGCAGTTTGAGTGCGAGTCCTTGCTGAGCTGTGAGCTGGAGCCGCCGGCGAAGACGAGCACCAGCAGCGGTCGTGTCCAGTGCCCGTACCCGGACTGGATAGAGCGCTTTGTGGACGATCCGGAGTTCAGTCATGAGGACTTTGCCCTGCGTGGCGAGTACTCTGGCATCACGTCTTTCCGCTACTTCGTAAGTACCTTCTGGTGCGCTGCACTGTGTTTGCTTGTTTTCTATTCTGTTTGTGACTGATTCTTCAAACAATTCATGATGGCTGCTGGTGATACTCAAACGCACTTCCTTCTTGTTAAACAGTACAGTGTACAGCCATGCTTTTGTTTTGATTGTGTAGTGTACGCTTCTTTCATCTTTGTTCCGTGCGCTGTTTTTTGTTTTGTGCGGCGGCTTCTTGGTCTGGCTGTAGGACTACTCGTGGGAGGGTCATGGCTGTTCGCTGGTCAATCGTCTCTTCAATGATGTTGGTGTGCTGTTAGATGAGAAGTTCAAGTGCATCTCTACTATGACGTACAATACGTAAGCCTACACACAGCCATGTAGTCAGTAGTCGTGTGCTGGGAATTTGTGTGTTTCGGCGAAGGGAAAGGGGTGCGGGTTGGGGTGGACAGCGCCCTTGCTATGGCAGGCTCCGGTATCTGCTGGATTTGGCAATGTTTTTTACCATGTCTGACCAGAGCCTGCATCATGCACTTTCCCATGGCTACTACACTGTAGTAACCATTGCTCGCATTTTAGGTACTGGATGATGTGTTGATCAATCCAGATGGCTGTTGTTGTCCTTGAAGTCGCTTTGCTCTTGTTTGGACTGACGCATACTGTGCTGGACAGTTAGGTCATGCTAGCATTTGTCTGGAAACTGATTGCTATGGGCATGTGCATGGACACGTACACACAGTGCTATGGCCGTGTAGTGCAACTCCAGTCTAGCCTAGCAGTGTTGCATGTAATGTGTTTCTACTGCTGTTAGATTCGGAGACAAGACGGACGTGGACACGCTGCCCATGCGCCGTGCTATCTGGAACTACATCCACTGCATCAAGGGCATCTTCCATGATGACTATGCCTACTCTGAGGTATGCCCAATGTTGTCACAAGATTTACTGCTTTCTGCTTGCTGACATCTGGCCTCGCAAGTCGGCTTGTGCCGGGCTCTGTGCAGCCCTAGCCCGGCGAACACTGGGCCGTGCACCGGTGCAAGTTGCCAACATATTCATGAGGTTGGATTTCGTTGAGCATGGCCGCAGCTAGTGTGTGTAGATGTACCAGTACACATGCTGTACACGTGCATGCTACCGCTACAGCGGCTATTCATAAGGACTCTGCATGACCTGATTCGCAATTGCACGAAAATTACTCCAAAAAGCCATGTTTCCTACAGTGTGTGTGTGTGTGTGTGTGTGTGTGTGTGTGTGTGTGTGTGTGTGTGTGTGTGTGTGTGTGTGTGTGTGTGTGTGTGTGTGTGTGTGTGTGTGTGTGATGTTGCTGTTCCAGAGCGAGAGTGAGCAGCCGGAAAACCAAATACTGTAGGGGCAGAAAATTTCGACGGTCAATAATTTCGTCCAACTCCAAAGAAAAGGAGTTCGTCCGTTTGACAATTTCGTCCATGGATCATAAGAGTGTATAGAAAAGCTGGACAAATCGACCCCCCTTCTACATTTAATTTAGTCCAAAAGCTCCTTGGACGAAATTAAATTCCAGACGAATAGTTCTGCTTCTACAGTATGGCAAATAGCCTTGGCCAAGCCAAATGGCAGTGCTCGTTTTGGCTACACATTTCAGAGTAGTGCCCTGGACTGGCCTAGTGTAGTTGTGCAATGTTCTAGTGAAATTTGGCTTGCTTTTGATGAAGAGTAGTATTTCGACTAGCACTCTGTCCTGTTGTTGAATATTGTTATGATTGTTGCGATTGTTGAATCCAGGTCAACCTGTGTCTGCCCATCCCGTTCAAGTCTTACATCAAGAATGTAAGTCCTCTCTCTCCCCTCTCTCCCCTCTCTTTCTTTCTCTCTCTCTCTCTCTCTCTCTCTCTCTCTCTTCTAGCATTTTCCTGGCTTTGCGTATTGGCAAGAGTCCATAACCCCCCCCCCCCCCAGAATGCTCAGCTGGGATGGGGTTGTGGGACGGCGTAATCCGTGATGTACGTCATTTTTTGGGTCGGACTTGCGTCATTCCGTCGACGCGGTCCACCATGGTCCACACTTCCCCTACTCTGTAACTCATGATGTCATACTATGACGTGCAACACGGATTTCGCCGTCCCAGATCTGATAAGTGAAGTTGCGCACTCTGGGGGATTATATGGACTCTTCACGGGTGTTTGCAGTGCATGAACTCTGGCCAGTCGTCCCCGTACGCAAACTGCGTACGCATTTAGATCTACCGTACATTTCCTCGTGTTTTGGGCGAATCTGAGCGGTACGACGCTGTCGAATTGGGCCAGAATTTGCCCTAAACCAGCCGCTATCGAAGTAAAATTAGGTGTTTTGAAGGCCACACGGGAACACTGCGGCCATGTCTTCTTTCCTGCGTCGTTTGTTTGAAAATCGGAGTGTTTTTGAGCTCGTAGTTTCGTCTTCATTGTGGAATAGCCGTGCGTACATTCTCCTTGGAATTACCAAAGTCACACCCCCGTTTCTTACATTACTAGGAGTTTTGCCGGCAGCCACGATAGTTTTATCCCTGCTTCCATACGTCCTTTCATTGAACAGCCAAACGAAACTTTGTGGCGCGCCTTAGACCCACGGTGAACTGGGTACTCCCTTGCTTGGTGTGAGGGTAACAAGGATGCGTTTTTTGGGGTTATAGGGCCTTTACACGCCCGCTGGGTGAGAGACTTATCCCCTCTCCCCTGACTCACTTGTGAGGTCTGCATTCGACACTACATGTAAGGATATATGGGCGAAGTGGTGGCCCGCCGATGCGAATGTATTTGCTTGATATGTTTCTCAACACGTCAGGTGATGCGGCCGCGAATCTGGCTAACTTTTTTTAAAAGTTTTTTTTGTGGCGCGGGGGTCTCAAGTTTGTCACTTCGAGTTGTACACAACAACCACATCAACACCTCAAAGGACCAAAAAACCAAGTTTGCAAAGTATTTCAACGTTGCAATTTTGCCTGGCCTACTGTGACGATGGAGACTTCTACTCGGTAGCAGATACTCGTATCAACAAGCTGGGAGGGAGAGCGTGGTGAGCAAAATGTTGGGATAAAAAGAGCCATATTCTCTCTCGGAAAAGGCCGTTCCTACACACTTGCTCTACCCAGATCTGCAGAAGGCTAGATTTTGCATGCACGTGCGAGATTCGCATCCGCCGCCGCGCACATAGGCAGAGTCGAAATGTTTGTACTCTCGGATTTGCCGCCATCTTGATGAGTGACCACTGCGAAACACCCGTGTCTTGGTATTGGAGTATGTGAATTGTTGTACTATTACTTGAACGCATCTCGAATCACAGAAAACTCTCTCTCTCTCCCTCTCTCCCTCTCCCTCTCGTAGGTGACATGCTTCCCTGAGCGCGTTGGCTTTATGGACTTCTTCAACAGTTTACGTGGCTTCAAGCACTCTGAACGGGTAAGGTCTAGTGTTGTGCGTTGATGAGCTGAGAACATTTAGGTGTATTGCTCAGTGGCGACCCTGGCAAGAGTGCCTATGTTACCCTTTCTTCTCTGCTTTTTCTGCCGTACTCCTTGCTGCGAATTGGACAAACACGTTGTATTCTCTGGGTTCTGGCAACATGATGTGATTTCATGTGTATGGAACTATTTATGGTACTACTGGCAGCTTTTCCTGGTTATTCCTGCCACTGTCCAATGAGAAATGTCAACAGACCTGGCACTGTACTGCTCTGTGCTGCGGTCACTGTTCTCGTGTTTGTATTTCTGACTGTTTAAGCGACCACCCCACGATGCAAGCAAAAGCGGTCGTTAAAGCCAGGTGGTCTTTAGAACCAGGTCCCACAGTGTCTGTGTAGAACTGTGGGTGCATGGAAAAACGGTCGTTGAGAGCAGGTGGTGGTCGCTAAACCCAGACTGACAGAGGTCGCTTACACCAGGTTTTACTGTATGTGTCTGTGCAAGCTGTTGAGCGATGCAATTCCAGTGCAAGTTCTTATTTCTAGTAGCATTTCGTAGCTTGTATTGGCGTCACACTTGGTACTGTGCATATCTGTGGAGCAGAATAGTCCCCGAAGACTAGAATGCAACTAGAATGTGCGTCTATGTTATTGGCATTTGAAATGCGCTGTAGTAAAGGTGTAAATGGTGTGTGCCTTTGGACATACTACAGTTCTGCTCGACGAAATCCAGTCGTGTCACTCGTGTATGCGCCGGGCATTGCGCAGTCCTGGGCCTGCGAACACTGGGCTTCGGAATGGTGCAAGGCGCAAACTTGAGTGCCGAGACTGGATTTCATTGAGCAGGACTGTAGTAGCTGACTGGCTGGTCAGTTTGCGCACTCTCACTCCCTGGCAAGATACACTACACTGTCTTCTTGGTTTGAGCGCTCTCAGCCCCTTGTGAGGTAATGGCTTTTCAGGTAAAGCGTACCCTCGGGCCTTGTCTATATTCTGGGTTTTGTGGATTTTGATTGTCATACCTGACACATCCAGGCTTGCTTCTCTGTGCTGCGCTGCTCAATCTACAAAGCGCGAATCAGTACTGTCCATTGTCTGAGCGTGTGCTTGTGTATGTCTTCTATTCTCCTTCCATTCTCCAGGTGCACATCAACATCATCCTGATGGAAGCCCGCTTCCAGGCAGAGCTGCTGTATGCACTGCGTGCACTGAATCGCTACATCACGCTTTCCTCAAACAGCTAGTACAGCAGCTGTTTGTCATTTCCCCCGACTGGCACCGTGCCATCACCATGTCGGTGATGTTTTTAATCGCTTTGAATGTGACGCGCCTTGATGCAGCTGCCGATGATCCACCTTTTCTCATCATCTTTTGCAACGCGTTCATATTTCTTTCACTGTTGGTAGCAAGCAGTGGATTTTCAGAACAACTAACAGTGTGGCTGTCATGCCCTTTCTTGCTGTTTTTTTTTTCTTCTTTTTTTTATCTGAAGTAGGCTGGACTATCATGCCATATGCCTCCACTAAGCACTGCACATAGACACGGCGAGTGTAAATCATATGGGTGCAGGTTCACTCCATCCCCCCACCCCCTTATCCCCCTGATTCCACCTTGGTCCTATATCTCAGCTTCACCATCGCACTTGCCTGCTGGCACTGTTCCTGTGCTCCCCGTCACTCTCCCTCCCCTCCCTCTCCCAAATCACCCATCGGATCTATTTTTACTCATACCTTATTTATGGTACTTTCTTTTCTCATAACATCATCCATTATTAACGGCCAGAAAGTCGCTTTATCAATTATCATCATACTATTTTTGAGGCTCACTGATAAAGAAGAATCAGCCCTTCCATGATCCGCCAATTAAAAGCGAGACACTCGGTACGAAAGAAACCTGACACGACATGTCTTCAACAGTAAAAAAGTACATCAACATTTGTCCAATATGCGATGTCATCATGGCATGCTTGCAAAAAATATTCTCAAGAATAAAAAACGTGATTCTGTAAAGGAGGGTTTTGAGTTTTCGTGCCTGCTTGACCAGCAAGCAGAGTAGTAAAATCTTTTTTCTTGAATGAAATAACACTGTGCAGCTTATTGCAGTCAGTGGAGAGCGCGCCTAGGCAGGCACGGATCAAAGTGCTTCAAATTCATGCTGGTAGCGCTCGCCCTGCAGGCGTGGATCTCCCAGTAGCCACGTGAACAGACCCGAGTGCAGCTTTTCCGCCGTGGCCAAAATGATTTTGAAGTCGGCGTCGTTCTCCAAGCTCAGGTCGCTACGCAGGTTGCGCACGGTTGCGGGCCGGGCGCTGGCTTGCTGCGGCGGGATGTTGAAGGCGTTGGGTGCCATGCCAGTCACACCGCTACCGATACCGCCACCACCGCCGCCCATCGTCGGTGAGAGTATACCCGACGAGTTTCCCGATGACGCAGACACCGACTCCGATGCCGCCTTGTACATCCTGAACGAGGAGCATACAAAGACACGGCGAACAAGGAGCATACACAGACATGGTGAACATGGAGCATACACAGACATGGTGAACAAGGAGCATACACAGACATGGTGAACATGGAGCATACACAGACATGGTGAACATGGAGCATACACAGACATGGTGAACATGGAACATCACAGACAGGGTGAACATGGAGCATACACAGACACGACATGATAAACAGTGAGTCCGAATCAAGTTGTATGTACACTCACACCTCAGCTATCCGGACACCAACGCTATGTGCACTTCGGACAACCGGGTACCCTTTGCGTGAGTTCTAGTGGAAATATCACTTCACATACCATCTCCGGCCTTTCCCCATCCAAGCGCATACGATTCAGAGCTACGTCCTATACGGGTTTATTTTATATAGTGTCTAAGTGGGCGTACATTTGTGTCGTCCGGAATTCTTTTCACCTGTTCGGCCAGTGCGGTTTTAGCTTGTGTTTGGTCATGGGAAATTTTCTAAAAAGTTTTAGAAAGGTTACTGTAAACCCCCTAATTTTAGTGACACATAAACCTTAGCGAATTTAGCAAATCAGTCAAATTCGCTAATGTTAGGGGTCGCGAATCACCTTCGCATACATGTGCACTGCATACCTGTCTGTGAAGTAGCTCAGTAACTACCTTTCTTCTGAACTTTTATCCTTTCTTCACTACAATTGTAGTACAGATACTGTAGACCTATGCACTAGTACTCCGTTTGCCCACATTTACCCAAAAAATACTGTCTACTCCGATCGCTAAAATAAAAGGTCGCTAAAACGTCGACAATTCGAAATCGCTAAATATATCGGTCGCTAAAACCAGTTTACAGTATTGAATTTGGTGGTGATTTTACCTGTGCAAACCCTGTTGGTGGTCACTTTGCACTCTTGGCCAGCATAATCTTTCGAGTTTTGAATCATGTCATGTGATATGAAACTCTGCATTGCGGAGCACTGGCTAGAGATAGTAACGTTGCACACTCCTGGGGGTGAGGGACTCTTGACTACGGGTGCTCCGATTTTCCTGTGCCAACCTGAAACAAGCTGATTTTTTTAGTATTAAGGACGTTTAGCAACGCGAAAGTTCGAAAGAAAATTCGAGTCTGGGAATGAGTACAGAAACAAAGGTCGAAACTTCGAAAACTTGGACGCGAAGTTGCAGTGATTTGCGAAAGTAACTTTCTCTTTTCTCAGTACGCATTTCACTACAGGGAGTAGTAATTTTACAGCCCCCTGCTTGAGACTGAGCTGCATATACGGTACGGTACTATAAGATTCAAATAGCTTCGAGAAAAAGTCGTTTCGCATTGCTAAACCTCACAAGTTTTCTTTTTCGAAATAGATTTTCGCGAAATAACGCCACCACCAAAAGTTCAAATTTTCGCATTGCTAAATGTCCCTAATGGCGAAACAGTTTTTCGAAAAGGATCACAATAAATGTACCACTTCCAGAAGCTACATGTTTTATAGAATTCAAAAAATCAAAATGAAAGGGTTGGAACTCTGATGGTGAGCCAAGGAAAACAATTTGTAACATGGAAATTGTGGGCACAAAAACTAGATTGTGCACGTCTGACTGTTCAAAATCTGGTTTCGATGGTGGACTCGATTGCATAACTTGTGCCCACAATTTCCATTTTACAAAAGGGTTGAAAATGTCTGGTTTTACAGAATTAGTTATCATAGTGTTGAAGACAACTTACGGATCAGCTTGAACATACGCTATGAGCGCTAGGGCACTGCGATGAAGACGCCTCACAAACATATCTATGTAGGCCTCTCGAACGCCACACAGCGGATTCAGCTGGAAAACCTGCACAGCCAGTGTATCAAATTCATAACAATCACAATGTTGTGCAAGAGAGTGAGAAGTTTGTGGAAGCAAGTTCCTGGTAGGTGCTATGTACACTTCTGAGTGAATGTGAGAGAAGAGGATAATTATAACAAGGGGAGAAAAGAAAGAAACGTATATCTACATCACACGCCTGACTGCTAGTATTTGCAAACAGAGACAGAACACATTCACACTCAAGTTTGTGGAATGGCTCGTTTCTTTATCTCCCTTTGTTATCCTCTTCTCTCACATTCACTCAGAATTGTATAGCAAAAGTCTTGAACACACGACGCCAAAGAGCAGCAGCGGTTCAATTTCTCCTTAATACGGTAACCTCACAGTTCCTTTACATTTCACAAAGCAGGCAAGTAACTTAGTTCCCACTACACACGTGGTACCGACATATGCGTACTGATGGGGTGCGAGCATTGCGTTAATTAAAGTTGAGTGCTAGCCATGAATTATACGTAGCTTTTAACATCAATAGCGAATGACAGTTATGGTCTCTCGGCAACATACGGATACATTGCTGATGTGTGTGTGTGTTGGGGGGGGGGGGGGGGGGGGGGTAGTACGCACCTCTTGGACAAAGGCATTTACCAGCTCTGATCTATCTGTAGTGGCATGGAACCGACATCTGCACAACAACAATGGCGGCGGCAGCAACAGACAACAGAACAGTATAAATAGAGAAAAAACCCACATCTCATCTTTGGCAGAAGCAGCATTGCATGTACAGTACAGCACCAACACTTGAACCAGCACTACAATTATCAGTACCATCACCTCCATCACCACTACATAATAACACCATCATCAACACCACCACCACCACCAGCAGCACCAGCACCACCACCAGCACCAGCACCAGCAGCAGCACACCTGGACACTGCACCTACATGCTGGGTTGTGCGCCGTCATCTTGGTGCTCATTGGGACGTTGCAGTTTCATGTGCTGCATCTCCAGGAACTCTTGGCGTACAACATCGTGCTTGTGCAGCTGATTAGTTTGTTTGACCGTCAGCCGGTCCAGGTCGATCAATGAGGAGGGCAGTCGGCTGCGAGTGATGTCCTGTTCAGGGATTCGAACATTACCACTTCCATCCTGGACAACAAAGAACAATACACGCTAGTTTGGGCAAACAATGGCAAGATATATAAATACTAACAGGGAAGAAGTGTCCATGGGTGGGCAAAGGATAAGAGTAACACACACAAAACACAATGGAACCTGTTATAAAGGACACCTGGGCACTGAGGACACTTTCAGCAACAAGAACCTCAGCGTCTAGACAGGGACAGGAGCAACAAGAACCCCGGAGTCTAGACAAGGACCGGAGGACGGCACAACCGACCGGGGCAACAAGAAATCTCGGACTATAGAACAGGACACGAGCAAGACACGAGCAAGACACAAGCAGACTGACACTGAACACAGGTCATGTACAGCAAGTATACTGTGATCACCACACACCGCCGCACTGGTGTAGGTTCACAACAGTCGTGCCACGAGGATTCATTCGCACATATACATATACATATACATATACATATACACACACAACAACAAGGTTGTCAGTTTCATAACACTAAAAGCTTTTCACCCATTTTCATCAGTAGGTACATGGGAATGAGCAAGAACGAAAACGAAGCCAGAATTTATACTGGGGGTAGAGAATCAGCAAGAATATTCTTACGCGCCTCAAGTTCACACTACACTACCATAAGAATGTATGGAGCAGTGGAAAAATGCGGGAAACAACACATGAAGGGAATGCAGTACCAGAACAAACACGTGATAAAGTTGTCAGTCCGGTTGCAGCTTGAACAGCCGCAGCACCTTGATGTGCTTCTTTTGTCGACACAGCTCTGGCCTCAAACTGCGAATGTACAGCGCCTCCAGTGTGAATCTGTGCGCGCTGTTCCGGGCTGGTGTGATCACACTGAAGCTGCTGTTGCGTTCCTGCGGGATGCACTCAGGTTGCGCCTGCAAATGCTTTGTGGTGGCGCTATCACTTGTCGCCACACGTTTGTCAGGCGGCTTCTTGTACAGCTTGTCTGGGATATGCTGCTTGATCCTTTCCGAGAATCGCTGACATGTCTCACCAACGTACGTCCGCTCACAGCGACACGCATACTTATAAATAAAATTACTATTTTCAAGAGTTGGTGAAACATCCTTCGCGATAGACCTGAATGCGGGCCTGGTTGTATAAATTACAATGGGGGATACTGTAGGATAGCAGCGTACGTTGGTGAGACATGTCAGCGATTCTCGGAAAGGATCAAGCAGCATATCCCAGACAAGCTGTACAAGAAGCCGCCTGACAAACGTGTGGCGACAAGTGATAGCGCCATCACAAAGCATTTGCAGGCGCAACCTGAGTGCATCCCGCAGGAACGCAACAGCAGCTTCAGTGTGATCACACCAGCCCGGAACAGCGCGCACAGATTCACACTGGAGGCGCTGTACATTCGCAGTTTGAGGCCAGAGCTGTGTCGACAAAAGAAGCACATCAAGGTGCTGCGGCTGTTCAAGCTGCAACCGGACTGACAACTTTATCACGTGTTTGTTCTGGTACTGCATTCCCTTCATGTGTTGTTTCCCGCATTTTTCCACTGCTCCATACATTCTTATGGTAGTGTAGTGTGAACTTGAGGCGCGTAAGAATATTCTTGCTGATTCTCTACCCCCAGTATAAATTCTGGCTTCGTTTTCGTTCTTGCTCATTCCCATGTACCTACTGATGAAAATGGGTGAAAAGCTTTTAGTGTTATGAAACTGACAACCTTGTTGTTGTGTGTATATAAATTTTGTTCGCCTACCTCTCTATTTAAATATACATATACATATACATATACATAATACATATACATATACATACCGGTAGCTCACGCCTACACATGCACAGATGCACACCACACACAGGTGTGCACACTTTCACACAGCTTTAGACCTTAGAGACATCCATCGCCTTGAAGGCAATGGATGGTCTGTACACATAAACATAAACACACACACACACGTACACACACACACACACACACGTACACACACGTACACACGTACACACATTCACGCGCAAATGCAGATATAGGTGACGCCTACACAGCACTGAGGCGATCAAATACTTACAATGATGAGGCCCTGAAGAAAGAGATCTGGCTCATACGACACGTCAGGACAGTCACCATCAACAAGGCGAGAACATTTACGCTCGTGAGGCGACAGGAACAGCGCTAATGTCTTCAGTGTCTACAGGACAAACAACACACACAGAAGGTACAAAGTTTGGGCACAACCAGGATGATTTGATTCCAGGCACAAGCACACACACACACTCACACATGCAGAGCACCAGCAAGCACAGTAAACCCACCCTGAGAAGGGAAAGTGCATCATGTTCATATACAGGGCGTGAGACACAGTAAGAGTCTGTCATGATGCGGACTTCCTTCATAGAGTTGTCTGCAAGGCGATCCATAGCTGCTGATCCATAGCTACTGACTATAGCCAGTACAGATCCATAGCTACTGGTCCATGGCTACTGTAGACCTAACACACAACTACTAGTCGAGAGACTCGAGACTAATATGGATATCCTACCTTGTTGACTTCGAGCACTGACTTGCCGATAACAATAGAACTACCACACGTCTGCAGGTGCGATGTGATGCATCTGTGTGCGTGTGTGCCAAGGAACATACACCGGAATGCACACATACCATGCACACACGTACACATGCAAGTACATACACACAGGCATGCAAACACACACACACACACAAACACACACGCACATGCACACACGCACACACACACACACACACACACACACACACACACACACACACACACACACACACACACGCCAGCACACAAGCCAGCACATACATACACACATGTCATGTTGGGACAACGGCTGACATCTGGTGCAATATATATGTGAAGTCAGGGCATGCATTGCTCAACAAACTAACACAGGTCAGGGAAACACATTTGACGTTAAAATCTGACGATGGCGATACTATAATCACTTCCCATGAAGTGCGCACCGTAATGTTTTGTAAGTAAGATGTTAGAGTAACACTGAGAATGCACCAAGCTATTGGGAGCCGCCTAGCGGCCCACGGCAGCCCCCAACTGCAGTCATTGTAAGAGCCAAATCTCAGCTGATGTGGTGATGATAAGTGTGTAACTGCAACCGCCAAGGCCACGTTCTAGCCCGTTGACGTAATGTTCAAAATGGCTTTTTTCCCTACATGAAGTGCATCACTGACAGCAGCTGCATAAAGGCGTGAGCACTCGATCGAGCCCTGAATTATTTGGAGGAGAAAGAAGGCTTTTGTACTACATTTGTATTGGGAAAGATGGCTTTTGTGAGAACGCTTGCGCATTCAACGTTCCCTCCACCATATACTCGAGGGCTTTGCGTAACTTTGGATGCAGAAGAGAAGCTAATGGCCAAGTTATTTGAAGAGTTAGTGTAGCTGCTTATGCATTGCTTATTGGCTTCTTAGAGAAATAGTCCTGGAGTACAGTCAATATTTAAATGTTCCCTGTACAAAACTAAGACGCGAGAACATTGAAAGCTATAGAAGTACTTACTTGCGCAAGAAGTCAACATCGAGCAGGGAGTCATTGCCATCAAATGATGTTCCTTCCGTCTGCACAAGGCAACAAATAAGCCCAGGTGCATACGAAGGTGAAATCTGATCCAGCGATCATCTGGTCTGTCTGTACAACCACTTGTCTTTGGCACATCAATGTGCAATGGTCAACCTGACTTCAGAGACCACCACCTGCGATCATAGACCACATCCATGTGCTGAATGTGCAATGGTCAACCTGACTTCAGAGACCACCACCTGCGATCAAAGATCACGGATGGGCAGCCTAGTGGATGGCATGGGTGGTCACTGAAACTAGGCTTCATATGTACTAGTTCTCGCACCGCAGCACACGTCTACATAGTGTGCATGTACTTGCACTGCACATGTCTACACAGTCACTGAGTGTACAGGTCGTCCCCCGTGATACGAGTCGGGTGCGTACATAAACCCTGTTAGCACATAGCAGAGGACGTTCAGGTTGGTTGTAACTCTGAGTCTCATGCTGCGAGACAACGATCAGACAACTGATACAGTAGTATCAGTCGTCTGAGTTCCAACCAAGCTGAACGTCCTCCGCTGAGTCTGCTACTTGTATGTTCCAAGCTCTGTCTATGACACTATCTGCACCTCGCGGATCAACGGATTTGGAACCCCATTTATTTAAATAGGACATAAGACATATTTTAAAGTCCCAGACGAAACGTGTTCACTTGCATACAAATTCCGTTGGTCAGTATATAATTCGTTGATAGTACATAAACGCCGTTAGTACATGGCTGCAGTTCCTCCTTACCCGCATATCACCTACATCAATAGAACATACAGTGAAACAACCTGTCTAGGACGACCGCTCAAGGGACCTTCGAAACGTGGTCGCTGTGTACAGGTAGTCTTCTTATCCAGGGTCATTTGACAGGAGGTAGCATCCCCTTGGTCCTGGTTGTCCCCTGGGACAGGTGGTCGCCTTATCCGAGTGGTCGCCTTGACAGGTTTTACTGTAATTTGCTGGTCTGCTGGCCTCCCAGTGGAGGCACATCATGCTCCGGTTTCTTCTCGTGGGGGAAAATTAGCTCAGAAATCAGAGCACACATCACGCACTGACAAAGCTCTTTTTTTCGGAGTGATTGCAGAGGCATGACCGTGCATGCATAACGTACACTGTAGAGTGTAGAATCCTCGCTGACCGTGAGTAACTGAGTGTGAGCCAGGGAGTCGTACCGTACCAGATGGTACCACTCCCTGGTGAGAGCCCTCCTCATTCAGCTAGCTAGCTAGCTCTCTCTCTCTCTCTCTCTCCCTCTCCCTCTCCCTCTCCCTCTCCCTCTCCCTCTCCCTCTCCCTCTCCCTCTCCCTCTCCCTCTCTCTCTCTCTCTCTCTCTCTCTCTCTCTCTCTCTCTCTCTCTCTCTCTCTCTCTCTCTCTCTCTCTCTCTCTCTCTCTCTCTCTCTCTCTCAGTGCAGTAGATCTAAACATCGAACGCATGATCACTGAGTACTACCTATGCACATGCACTGTCCGGATTGGACCTCACGCTCATGCCATGGGTCGCTTACGCTGGCCGGTTTCCAGTGTTGCACTTGAAAGTCTTGCATTGCAGCTCACTCTGTGTGCACCCAAAGACTGTACTACAAAGCGCTACGCCCAAAGCGACACTGGTGGCGTGATGAAGCGAGCGTCTGTATGTAACATTTTTAAGAATTTTGGAAATCCTGTGGTGAAATCCACTTTCGTCTTGTATTGGTGCGAATACGAAGATCATGGCCGCAACCAGCGCAAACGATCTACGCAGTTTTGAAGGAGTTAATTAATGGAAGCATGGGAGAGTGGTGATCGGAGTGGCAAGACAAAGAGGATCAGAGCGTCGAAATGGCCACAGCTCGGTGACTTGTTGTATGACTGGATGGTTCGAGCACGTACTGCGAACATCACCGTAACGGATGAGATTCTGTCCATTGAAGCGAAGAAGCTGGCATCAGGGCTGGGGTGGTCGGATGACGATTTCAATGCTAGCCACGGTTTTAACAACAGATTTAAGGTGCATCATCAATGCACTTCCAAGATGAAGGCAGGCGATGGGAAGGATGCTTTGGAGGATGTCACCATTGATCAGTGACAAAGGGAATTCCAGCCAACGCTGGCGGAGGGACACGAGCCCAAGGATGTGTTTAATTAACATCGATAAACCGCTTGTTTTATCAGATTCTTCCACACAAGAGGTTGAATCTGCGCGAAGAGCGCTGCCAAGGGGGAAAGAAGAAAAAGAAGCGAGTAAGTGTCCTCCTTGGCTGCAACATGGATAGAAGCGAGAAGCTGCAGCTATTGGTAATCGGCCATTACCGGAAACCCCGTTGTTTCTGCAATACGGAGTCGCTGCCAGTCACATACAGGCATTCCAAGAACGCTTGGGTGACGTCTGACAAAATGTCAGAGTGGCTCATTTCCTTCAACTCAAAGATGGCAAGCGAGAAGCGCAACGTCATCCTCTTCATAGACAACTGCTCAAGCCATGCTAAGGCAACTGCCAACACCAACTTGAGTACTGTCTGGATCCAGACCCAGTATCTGCATCCGAACTCCACATTACAGACGTAACCACTGGATCAGGGAATAATCCGGGCCGTGAAGTGCATATATCGCCGCAAGTTGCTTCACCAGATCGTTGCAGCATTTGATGCAAAGCAGGATCTTGATGATCTACTCAAGATCAATGTCAAGGAGGCTATCTTCTTATTCAGCGCAGCCTGGAATGCAGTCACCAAAAGCACAATCGAGAATTGCTTTCGGCACGCTCCTATCAGTGCAGGTGCCGCAGTGACCAGTGAGCATTACCAGCAGGGTGAGGCCATGAAGGAGTTGGAAGCAGCATGGCATCAAGCTGCCAAAGTCCTTGGTGTGACCGAAATGGAAGGTGATGTCGGTGCTTTTGTTTCAGTGGATGACAACGTGTTCACTGAGAGGTTTTCCAGCACTGAAGGCACTGAAGAGCCCCTGCATGGGCATGCGGAGAACCACTCGGAATCTGATTGTGAGGAGATATCTTTTCAACAAGATTTCGGTGGATTCCGTTACATAATTATTTAAATTGTTTATGTTATAATGAGAGAATCAAGATTATCTCGCTTTCTAGTCATGCCAGCAAGAAACACTCGGAAAAGTTGAAAAAAGTGAGAAAAAAAATTCTGGTACAGAATAGTAGCTATGCAAACTTTCGTTTAGTACATAAACCCCATAATATAATACATACAGTAACACCTTCCAAGTCCCAAAGATTATGTGTTAGAGAAGTTAAGATGCACGTTATTTCCGACGTGACGCGCAATTTCACGTCAAATTTGGCGTAAAACTCCAAATTTCGACGTGAGCTGCAGGTCACTCACGTTGTTTTCGACGCGCGAGCCAAGTAACGCGAGCTGAACTTTCGCGTCACGTCAGAAATAACGTGCATCTTAACCTCTCTATTAACGAGGGACGACCTGCACATGTATTCTATATATACAGCAATGGCTTACACGGCTGAAAATACTGAAAATACCTACACTCACTGTATACAGGTGCATGTAACTGTGTGTGTTCTATGAGTACATCTACAGTTGTCGCCAAAAAAACCCAGCCAATGCTATACTGCACGGCACATGGTACGTATGCACTACCACTGCACATGCACGTACATGTATACTACCATGCATACAATCAGTGCAGTGCTGGTACATGCATGTACATGTATACTACCATGCATTCAATCAGCGCAGTGCTGATACAGTAAAGGTATGCATGTTACCATACCATAATATTAATAGCACTGGTATGACCGCGTACCAATTTTGGCATTGGCCGGATTATTTTGGCGACAACTGTACTTCAGGAAATGGGCACTCTCGGAATTAAAACGAAGATCAGTGTGCACATACACACACCACAGCACATGACAACCGCCACTGCCACCGCCACCACACCAACCTACACGGGCTAGCATGCAGATCGAGAAACAAACACCATGGCATTGGCCCTCACCGTCAGACGATCTCGCAGCGACATACGGTATATGCCCTCCACCGCACTCATGAATGCGGGCATTTCGCCGCCAAATTCATCCATGACTGCTCCGGCCTGTGGAGGAACAAAATGGCAAGGAAAGACGACAAGCATCACGGCACCTACGAGTACTGAAAGCAGACACTTCAAACAGACTCACTATAGTGCGTTTCAAAAGTATGGACCACAGACTTTTTTTGAATAATTCAAATTCGTTTTAAGCTTTTTGAGAAATTTCTTCGGAATATTGCTCAGGAAGCTCCTGCAATTTTTCTCATATAAATTTCTAAGCGATTGGATAACAACGCCCAATTTCGGAAATTTTATGCACAAAGTGATCACAGATTTTATGTGGTATAGATGCAGGCCTAACGGTTTTTTGAAATTAGAGGTCTGGACTTTTGAAACGCACTATATAGTACTGTCACTACATGCATGTGCTGTTCGGTGTACTACTTCCGTCTCAATGGCAAGTGGCAGTACAAGCTGCAGTCGCATAACGTATTTTCCGGAGTATAAGCCACACTTTGAACACTCAGAATTCACCCAGAAAAAAAGGGGTGCGGCTTATACTCCGAAGATCAAATTAACGGTGATAAAATTTAAAAAAAAAATAGGATAGATGTCTGTATTTCGTGGCAAAAAAATGGTGATACGGTTTATACTCCAGTGCGGCTTACACTCCGGAAAATACGGTACTTGGTATGGGAAGCGAGAAGTATGGCAGTAAACACCGTAGACTACAATACAAATCTAATCATAATCAACACACGGCCATGACGGCAAGCAAACCTACATCGGTATACTGCTGGTAAAGCGCGGTCAGGCGATCAACGCACTCCTTCATGCGCTGCTCACAGAACTTGTGCAGGGGCAAGTAGCCTGCTCTGTGTTGCAGTGGCATGAGAAGGCAGAGTGAGTAGACACACGGACCCTGGTCGGCCTGGAAGCAGCTGAAGATGAACGCCGTCACCAGCACGTCATGGTCGGACAGGACGTACAGTTTGTTCTCCACGATTTGGCCAGGCGCAGCCGCGAGCTCTTCCGTACGGCATATCTCTCCATTCAGCGTGTGATTGGCAACGTATTCGATCGTCTGTCATTGAGCACGCACACAATTAAACCGCCACACACATGAACGCATGGCACATTCAAATCAACACACAGATACACAAACAAACACACACACACACACACACACAGAGTATGTGTAAGTATGCATGCATGTGAGCACACAATACAATACAATGCCCATCCGCAGATGATGGCAGATCCTGAAAGAAACGACAGTGTTCCCGTCCCAGAAAAAAGAACTTCAAATGGCAAGAGAACACACGCACGCATACGCATGCCATGTGCATGCATGAGCACGCACATCTGCAGCGCATCCTTGTTACTGGTCCTATCAAACCACATTGGCTGATTCATGCCAGATTCGCTTAAAGGGGAAGTCCGGTGAAAAATTTAAATTTCACAGTCCGTAGAGTTCGGGTCGCTGAGTCGAATGGTCTTTGTCCGAGGAGGCTGCGGCTTATGGTTCGTCAGATACGCCCAATCGAACATGTGCGAATTTGAGCGCGCATCACCCAGATCCAGGTGATGACGTCACAGCGTGCAGCCAGGTAGCCACACCATCTAGTTGTGTACAAAAATGGCCATATTCGGAGCGCGTTCGATTGGGGAACCGTTTGTCGCAGCTTCTTCGGACCAAGACCATTCGATTCAGTGTTACAAACACTACGTACCCTGTGATTTTCAGCTCGGTAAACCTGGAGGTTATACCGTATTATAGCCGTTTCCGAGTTGGACTTTTCCGTCAGCCTCCACGCGCTCTGCGCTGCGTGCATGCAGTGCGTGCAGTGTGTTATCTAGCTGTAGTGCAGTCAACAAACTCATCACAGACGGAACTACTCCCGCACTGCCGTGCTGGGGTAGTATGACTTGTACAAGACTCAGAAAACTAGTCAACACACGGACTTGTCATGTACTACACTCGTATCAGTCGTATTGTTCAGTCATGTAGTCAGAGAACGTGCGTTTCTCCTTGCCGGTGCCGGTGGTTGTGCTTTGAGAAAGAAATTTTTAGTTTTCCGCACCCGCCTCATTATTTTCTGTTACAGCGATGAGTGCACAACCGTGACAAGTGACAAAACAGCGAACAGCTCCCGGACCTAGAACTTTCAGATTCCATAGCGTTGCGAGCGAAGAGTCGTGCCCGTGGTTCAAAGAGCCTGCACTGTTCTCCAATTGAGTAGTCCGAAATATTCCAAGTTCGCACCAAAACATCACCATGTGGCAGGCTACTGGAGTCTAAGCGAATCTAATCGGTATGGAACAACACTTAGAGCACTCGCATCACTCTTCTCCATTTTGGCGACCCTGCTCTCCAGCGATTTGATCAGCCTCGTCTGCAATAGCTGCTGCTTCTTCATCAGTCGGAAACTCAGTAGCGCTCACTCTTGACCGGCCCGCGTGGCCATTTCTTCAGCTGAATACCGAGGTTCTCAGCCCCAGACCGAACTCATGAAGGTCAGCCATGGCTGCATCCTCACTCTCACAAGGAATTACAGGTCTTCGGGGTCGCTTGCACCAAACTATCTGTCGCCAAATCATTTGAAATAGCACTGACACTATTGCTTTCACGCACTCCTTTTGACCTAGCTGCACGCTATGACGTTGCAGAGGGTGTGGCGCGGCCGCATGACGTCATGGCGCAGCCCCCGAAACTCAGTTTTTCAAACGGAAATATCTCGAGAACGCTTTGTCGGAGACACGTGGGACCAACACCATTCGACTCAGCGCCCGAAACTCTACCGACCCTGAAATTTAAATTTTTCACCGGACTTCCCCTTAAGGCAGTCAATTGTTATTTTACTGAGATCTCATACTGCTGTGTGCCTAGGAGTCGAATTTGGTGAAGACAAGGTGGCAAAGACTGTACATCGATGGGTAAATTACGCTGAATGCAGCAACAATAATAAAATAAATCTGTGTAAGAAACAGCCGAATGGTACCGTTCACAGTTTTATTGAAATCTGTGTTATCAGCTTTATGGATACACGGTATATCTCTACAGTACTTATACACACTGAAAGCCTGTACACATACCTGCTCGGGAACCTGCCATGCGCTGTCAAACATATTCCACTCGCACTGAATCCTGGGTCCTACTATATTGTCCCACATTGACAGTAGAGCGGCGGTGAAGAATGGGTTGCCGTCGATGCCAGCGCCGGCGCCCTCATCACTTGTTTTAGACGGGAGCGTAATGCACCTGTGCGCCGCTTTCATTCCCGACAAGCTGTCCACTCTTTTCGAAAACATACTCAAATTAAATAGAATAATTGGTCAGCTCGTAAACTATCAGTACTGAAGTAGTGGGTCGCATCTATGACTACCGAGAGCAGCAACGACGAAGTAGGAATGTGACAAACATGTTAGGGACATCTACAACACATCCTCAAGGGACGGTACTACAATTGTAGGCTTTGGTATTTTAGGTGCTACGTGTAAGGTGCTACATGTAGAAAATTGACTTGAACCGAGAACTATTTTCAATTACATGTATTTCAAACAGTTTATACTTGCGACGATGCCGATGAACCAGCCAGCCAACGATTTTCGAAAGATTTCAATCATTGTCTCATTCAGTGATGTCACAACTACGTCATTTCACACGATCCATAACTTGACCATAACTATAAGATCACGTTGACAAAATGATTCACACAAAAAAAAGCTACCATTGCATTGCATTTCGATGTGAAACAATCAGGACAAGGAGTATTTGTGCACTTGTCTTCAGTCTTCACTGCACCTTCCCGAGCTATCAATCATGCAGCTGGCATAGCGCTAGTCGTTGTCACAGTCGATATCAATCCCAACTGCATGGTGAAATCCGGTATCAAAATCCTTCAAGGTGGGTTTCAAAATATTCTCTCAGTGAATTGCTTCACATTGCACGTTATTCATCATTTCGCGCAGATTTCAACGAAACAGTACCTGGCTATGGAGGCAGATTGCGAGGAGAAGGCTGACCGCGTGACCCTGAAACAGGTAAATGAAAAAGCGTATGCTTTCTGGACCGATGTCCTTGGCAGTCCTCGTCACATTGTGGCACCCATGGTAGATCAGTCTGAATTACCCTGGCGTCTGTTGTCGAGAAAGTATGGTGCTCAGCTGGTATACTCTCCCATGTACAATGCCGGCGTCTTCCTGAAGGATCCGAATTGGCGAAAGCAGTGTCTTGCCACGTGTCCTGAGGATAGGCCACTGATCGTGCAGTTCTGTGCCAACACTCCGGATGCATTCGTGGAGGCTGGACGCTATGCACAGCACATGTGTGATGCTGTAGATCTGAACCTGGGTTGTCCGCAGATGATTGCCAAGCGCGGTCACTACGGCGCATTCCTGCAGGATGAATGGGACCTGCTGCATCGAATTGTCACCGCGGCCGTGAAGGAGCTCAGCGTGCCGGTCACATGCAAAGTGCGCGTGTTCGCCGACATTGAGAAGACCGTGCGCTATGCCCGTGTGCTGGAGAGCGCCGGCTGTGCATTGCTGACGGTGCACGGGCGGCTGCGCGAGCAGAAAGGCCACAAGACGGGCCTGGCAAGCTGGGAGCACATCAAGGCGGTCAAGGAGAGTGTCAGCATCCCGGTTGTGGCGAACGGTAACATTCGATACCTGAGCGACGTCGATGCCTGCCTTGCTGAGACTGGTGTGGATGGCGTAATGACAGCAGAGGGGAACTTAACCAACCCAGCACTGTTCACTGGTAAGATGCCACCTGCATGGTGCATGGCTGACGAGTACTTTGAGCTGGCGAAGCAGTACCAACCTCATCAGAGTGCAGCCAGAGCGCATATGTTCCGACTGTGGCACAAGTGTTTGCCACTGCACCCGGACCTGCGTACACAGCTGGCCAGTGCACAGGGCCTGGACGGGATTGCGGAGATCTCACGACAGCTGGCCGAGCGCATGAAGGCAAGCTGCGAGGGCGCAGAAATCGATGAGATGGCCGCTCAGCATACGGATGGCAGTGAAGTGGAGCCATGGAGGTGTCAGCCGCACGTCCGTGCGCCGCTTACAGATACAAACACCGGTGATGTGTTGGGAGAGAAGCGCACTCATCCCGATGGTGCTGACGCCGAGAAACCAAAGAAAATCAAGCGTCCTGCGAACAAGCGCAAAGGAGGCAATCCTGCTGTTTCCCGGGAGGTGCGCAAATCGGCAGCATTCAAGAGTAAGTTTAAGCCGTGCACGGCGTGTAGCGGCAATCCAAGAGGTATGAAGTGTGATCATGAACTCTGTCGAGCTTGTTGTAAAGTCCACTCGGTTCGAAATGTCTTCGACTGCACTGGGCACAAGTTTTCCTTCAAATCCCGTGCCGAAAGGCAGCAGAAAGAAGCCGATCAAGCGGGTGCCGTGCATGCCACGGACAACGGTGATGCTAGCAATGGAGCCTTGCATGTTGCTGCTGCTGCTGATGATGGCACATCAGCTGACACAGCTACCCAGTGTGAAGCTACTCTCTGACCAGATCTAGTTTGATGGGATTGGAAAAAGAACATCTTACACCACAGTGACGAGGTTCTTCGTGTCATATGCGTGCGTGATCTAGTGCAGGGTGCTGTCTCTGCATTGACATTGTCAACTGCCGTGGCAGAACAGCATGCGTGGCCCGTCACTTTCGGCACCACAGATTGCCTGACAGCTCATCGATGATATTACAAATGCGGGCTCGTTCAGTTGCTGTCCTGTGCGGGGCGGTTGACCAGTTTATGTTTCTGCCAGAACTCACTTGTCAGCAGTGGTGATTATGTACCGTGCGCATGATCTAGGGGCCCGGAATCGAATCATCCTGGCTGGTGCCCATTTTCAACTCTCGCTCAGATTCTATGTTGTGTGATCATTGCTGAAGAACTTGATATTTATACTACAACTTGAAACTTCTGCTTGAAAAGTCGTTTGAGCAGTGACCGCCATCTCACCATGGGTGTTAGGTTGTGTCCTGTGACGGCTCTCAGTGCTCTGGCACCATGATGGTCATGTGGTAGTGCAGTTCTAATCTAGCGACAGCCATCGTCCACTTCACTGCTCAGCTGGCCTTCGTGTCGCATGCATCTACTACACTATAGAGCAGCGCGTGATTCGTTCCAATCAGCAGCGTTTACGGCAGCTCTGAGGCGCCCGTCAGTAATCATTGAATACTGGCGGTGTTGTTCTTTGAAGTGTACTCACTGATGGTAGCGTAATATTCGTGCAGCAGCAGCCGTATACACCAGACTATTGTTTCACGCAATCAGTATTTCTGCCTGGCACGGCGTGTGCTATGCTAGTGGATGACGGCAACCGCCTCGCTATGTTTTTGAACTCTTGCTTACGTGGCACCACTCTAGGCAACATGTAGTAGCTATTCAACAGCCTACATTTTATAGAATCTTTCATCTTTATTTTACGCTGACAAGCCTACGATTGGATAACAACCAGCTTCTGGTCCCTTATTTTCAGCACCCCGTTGCCTATTTCGTTACTCAACTGCACGTTCATCATGGCTGAACGATTGTTCATTCCACCTGACTATGCAAAGCAGTGTGTTCAATTTTAGATCTATGCCTTGTGGCTATTTCACGCACATGTGATGCTCACAGACTATTTCCTAGCCGTGCTGTTCAGACATGTTTAGACGACTACTTGCACATGTAGTGTTTGAGAGAGGACCATCTTGGAGGAAGGGAACTAATTGTGTGCATGGAATTTTAACTGAAATGACACGCAATTGCATCGGCTTAGCCATAGAGCGTCCCTCATATCATCCACTTGGGATCTACCTCCACCGAGGAGTTCTGAGCCTTTTCTGGCCTTAGCTGTGGACAGTGGTGGTGTTTACACCAGGGAGTCGTATTTTGTTTACATGTAACCCAGTCAAATGCACGGAGAACGGCCAAGAGCGCAGTGGATACGCTAGGTGTGGTGTGGTGGAGTTAGGAGATGCCGGTAAACTTACACATACGGTACACTGTGACAAGCCGCAGTACATGCACTTATAACTGGCATTTCACCATGCAAGTCGATGCAGAATAGAAAATATGAATAGAATAATAATACACTGAGGATCACCTACCTGCTGGGGCCCAGCTTCCTGTATTAATACTATTATGCGAATGACATCATCTTATACAAGTGCATATCGACCCACACTGCCATACCCGAAGATGTTCCCATACTCGCATCTTGTATTGCTGTAAATGTGCTGGAAGACTGGGGAATGGCCTGGCACATTAGGGTTGAACCTACTGTTCAAAGTCTCAGTCCGGGGACTCCCTCCTGATTTCCCACCATCGCAACACGCGTCGTCCCACCGATTGTATTCCAGAATCCAGGGCAAAGTTAGTTGTTCCGGAAGTCGACCAGCTGAAGCTGCTGGGTGTGCTGTTTGACCAACACCTGTCCTTCACAGCTCATATCAGGCGATTGGCTATTCGAGGCTCGCAGCGTCTCGGCTTCCTCCGGAAAGCCTCACGAGTCCTGGACTCCAGCCCAGGTGCCGTGGTGTGATCTGCATGGGATTTGTCCGCCCGGTCCTGGAGTAGGTCAACGGCATGCTCGTGTGGACGTGGATGAGCGCTGCATGCACCCGCCACTCTGGCTCGCTGCACTGCCATCCAACGCCGTGACCTTCGCCTAATCCGGCGGTGATGGAGCCTACCTCCCTAGCTTGGACATCCGCAGAATGGTCAGAGCACTCTGCTTTCTGTACAAGCTCCACTTTTCAACTGGCCGAGACATGCTCCTCAACCTTCTTCCACCCCGAGCGACCAACACATCACGCCATAGCCGACGCACACAACAGCATCCTTCACACCAGTTTCAGCTCACCTCCACCCTTCCGCTCAGAGCACGGAATGATGTCCTTCGGTCCTTCCCAGACGCTATTGTGGAGGTCTGGAACCAGCTCCCGCAGTGCGTTCTGCTGCTGAACCAGCCAACAAGGAAAAAACTACAGACGCGGCTAGACGTTCAAAGAGAAGGTCAACGCCCACCTGTGCCTTTCCCGCTGGGAGTGGGCAACGGACAGGCTAACGAACCAAAGAAAAAAGACGAAAAAAAGCTCTAACACTGATCCCTCCTCCGTTCACTTCTTTGACTCTCTGATATTGCGCATACTTTTCCCCGTAATCCCCAGTTATCTACCCCCCCCCCCCCCCGGCTGTTCTGTAATCTTTTGTTTTTGTGGAGCGCTTCACTTGGGTTGCAATGAAGCCAAGACCCTATGGTCGGTCAAGCTGCCCCTGCCTCTCCCCCACTCCTAGCCTGCCCTGGCATATGTCTCATCGCTGCCTTGCTGCTTTGTGCCGTCAAAATGGTGTGTGTGTTTTTGTAAAAAAACAAAAAAAACACTAACCTTCGATGACCAACTATGTTTTTTTAGCTGATAAAAATTAATGGACTAGAATATGGAGTTATGAAGGATACGTCCAACAGTGAATATATTAGCATGCACGGTGATACACTTGCATTGACTGTGGGCCTTTGCTGATTCATACTTTGTGCCGTCAAATGGTGTTTTTTTTGTAAAAAAACAAAAAAACACCAACCTTCGATGACCAACTATGTTTTTTTAGCTGATAAAAAATAATAGACTAGAATATGGAGTTATGAAGGATACGTCCAACAGTGAATATAATTATTAGCATGCACGGTGATACACTTTCTTTGCTGATTCATACGGGTAGGCTAACGCAAACAACACAAGTTAAAGGCTTCAAGCATCGTTTCAAGGAAAAGACGGAAACGAACGAGTCTGCTGTTCAGCTAGCACGCAGTGAATGTGATGTGCTGGGAGCGTGTCTACAACACACTCTACAGAGTGGTGGCAATGGCAGCAAAGCTGACCAAGATCAATGGCAAAATGGCCTCGCTGTGAAGCTGACTGGCGCTGTTTGTGATCCTGGGTGGGTCGGTAGCCATGCTAGCCGGCAGTGTCTGATTGGTGGGACCCTGTACGGTGGCACTGGCTGGGGCAGTGCTTTCCACGGTGGGCGCAGTTTCGCTGGGGAGAGGAGCAGGCGGTACATCGATGCGCACTTCGACAGGATAATGATCACTAACATCTTCAGTGACACTGGTATTGAGGCCCAGCGCTGTGTCAAACAGGTAAGCACGTGCACTGCCTGCAGTGACCCGGTCCTGAAGGTGAGAGCCAGCAACAATAATGCGATCATAGGCACAACTGGACTGAGCCACCGTCGTGTCTGCATCCTTGTCAATCAGAACAAGAAAGCGCCGCTCCGTAAACAAACCGAGCGCGTTAGCTTCTGCATTGGTTAAGTAGCTGCAGTCAGCGTTCAAGTCTCCTGTTATCAGTGCATCTCCATGCCCCAGTCTCTTGATACTTGCGTTATAAACATTAACCAGTTCAGTCAACTCGGCGACAACGTCATCCGGCTTGACGTGAACGCCAATAATGCTGAACGGTCTTCGCAGTATGTCGGAACACTGGCCGGCACCAACCAACTCAGCTACCATTGGCTCGCGCTCGAAAATGTCCGCCGCGGTGTCGTTGTAAACAAACCAGCGCGACACGTTCAGCTTATCGGACCGATAGAACAGGGCATACTGCTCTTTGCTGGTCGTTCTGCCAAGGCGGTCGCTGACAATGTAGTCAAACGGTGTCGACGAGGCATTGTGCACAGCAGCGAACAGCTGAGGAATAGTCACCATCGTGCTGTCTCGTACCTCCTGTATGAATAGTGCATCATAGCGGCGGATGATCTTCACCAGCTGTTCGACAACATAGGTTTTGGAAATTTTCGACCTTCCCAGTATCTGGATGTTGAATGACCCAACCAGTAGACTGCAGGGCTGTAGCTGTGCATGGCATTGCCAATGAGCCTGTTGCAGCACACACACTATCAACAGGGGAATAATAGCGGCCAAGCAATTGCGAGCACTCATCGTGCTGTGTGTGTACACTAGGACCCGTAACTGGGGTCACTGATGTCTCCGCTCAATATTATGCAAAATATTTACGGGCACACTGCACTGGCTTCCACTCAAACGATTCTTCTCGTTGCCTTTGGCCTTGGGAGCCCAGTTGCAGCAGCTACACAGAGAATAAAATGATTGGTGCCTTTACCATGTTTACGCCGGATACGACTCACTTCTGACTGTGCTGACTCAGCTGAGAAGTCTGTTCGCCTTCTAGCTTCGTGGCCTCGAGTCCAACTAGTAATACTAATACCTAGTCTTCAACGTAAGTAACTAAAACCACTACGAGTAATCCACGTCTCACTCTCAGTATCTCCGAGGCTGTCATGGACGATAACACGGCCTGATGCAGAGTTCCACTAGCAACTACTGCAGTACTACTACACTACTACAGTACTACTACTAGTACTAGTCGGTTTGTACTGACCTGACCACGCATAATAATAGAATAGACTCGTAGATCTACCCACACTCACTATGACTGGGCAACTACCATGTCAGTAACTGTCTATGACCGTGTTACTTTGTTACTTCACCTGGCACTGTGGCAGCTAGCTGGCTCAAAATCAAAAAAAATAATTGATCAAATCATATCCTGATATCGGATGAATACAGTCATGTACTTACTACTCAGTATACCGGTACTGACTGTAGTAGCTAGTAGTAGTAGATCTACTACTGAGACAGTACAGTCATCGTAGGAGACGCCCTAGCCCTTGCAAGCTTGCGGGAAGCTCGCGGACACACTCATCGAGAGATACAAAAAGACTGAAGTGATATGACAGCCATTGACAGGTACGTAGATCTACAACTAGTCACAATGATCACACAGCAATGACGCGTAGGTCTACGTGTGTGAAACACTCCGCTCATCTGTAATACTGTATTAAGGGTTTCCAGATTATTCGCAAGTGTATTGAGATACAACCACACAACACTCAACAGACAAGATATTGTTCTCGAGCATCAAGATTCGAATCCAAAAAAATTAATGTTCCTATGCGAAAAATTTCTAAAAAATATTCAAAAATCACTCAAAACCCGAAAATAATAATTATCTACCCGTTGCCATGGCAACGATGACGTAACACAACGACAGGGCTGAGCTCAGAGACCATGTGGATTGACGTTGAAATTTTTCAGACTGATCGCGGCACGTGACCGGTGCTTTTTGATGGTATGGTATTGATTTATTTGAATTCGGTATCTCAACAGTACAATGTACAACTTGGGAAGATCCGAATGACATAGATACATAAACATAAAAGTGGAGTAGGTGCTACAGCTGATCATTTTATCGCAGGTTGTGGGACTAAACTAATACCAGTATGCAAGTACAAAAGAAATAAAAGCTGAATAAATACGACTGCATGATATTGGAGAAAAGCACTGGTTGGCCCGCGGACTGCACCTGTTCTGGGTCGGCCAGAACATGTTCTGCTTGCTCCGGCCTCGAGGCCGGAGCAGGCCGAGCAGTTTCATTTTTTCACAGTGAAACCTAGGCGGGAACATCGATTTTGGTCCTAAATGATCACGTGCATACGCTTTTGGGTTGGACTCGTCGTACCGTACACAGTGACCATGGTGACCCATACATATTTTTGAAGAATGCACCAAATTTGGCATATTTTTCACAAAAATGTGCTCTGTTTCTGGAGTACCGTTTGGTTGGCATCAGGCTGCTCCATGTGCACCAGCTGTTCGATCCTGTTCTAGATCGTACCAACCAAACGCACCCTCAGAGTCATGCTGTCGTACATGTATACGTAAATGTCTTATGAGTGTTTCACACAAAACTCTGAGTAACGCAGCGGAAAAGGACTTGGTTGCGTCATTGCTGTGTGATCATTGACATAGTCATTGTATTGCTACAATAGTACAGTCGTCCCTCTCTAATCCGGCACCTTTTGCCACGGCGTTTTCTGCTGGATTAACGAGGGTGCTGGATTAAGAAATCCTGCCCTCTGACCCGGCCCTACCCAATTGCATGCATGTATCATACGTCAAAACGCAGGGTTTTTCCGTGTCAACCCAAGTATTTGGTGCCCGGCTTTATATTCTCAACTGTTCTCCAGGAATATACACAGTGATAAAGTGATAAAGTAAAACAGAGAACATGTTCACATGTACTCTTGCACACACACGCACACACACACACCTGAAAATTGGCAGCACACTACTCCTTGCTGTCAGCGAATTGTGAAAATATAGCAGTCAGGTCTGCAGCAGTGATTTGTGGCACAGCAACTCCAGTCAACTGAACTGAACTCTGAAGTGGCCCCGCGCGCGCGGCACTGACCAGACTAGTGGCCTAGCCTGGCCTGGCAAGGAGTGCACCTGTACGGTACGCGATTTACGACCGCCGGATTATGAAATCAAACTACGTGCAGTTTGAGCGATTCGTTTCAAAAAGTCACTGCCGGAGGCGGAATTCAAGTGCCGGATTAAGATGTAGGAATCGAACGAAAAAAATCGGTTTCGTCAGAAAGTGCGCCGGTTGGCAAGGGTTCCGGATAAACAAGTGCCGGATTAGAGAGGGACGACTGTATTGCTATTGAGTATTGGCCCCTCTGTCCACTACACTGGACACAGAGGCTGGTAGAGCGATACGCAGCCTGAGGATTAGGCATTTCCCAAATCGGCCGGCCGAAAATTCGCCGAAAACTGTGGTTTTGAAGAAATTACCGATCTTTTCACCGAATATGCAATTTTGGCACTGAATTCGCCGAAAATCGATGTTTTTGTGTCTCGACAGCATGCAAATACAATCCCTGTAAGTATACTGCGAAAGGTGACTGCAACTTTATTAGGCATCACCGAAATCCGTCAGCAGACAGCAGGAAAAGACGACAAAATCAATGGCTTTGAAGAAATCGTCGATAATTGCGCCGATTTTGCAAATTTCGCACTTACATGTAATTCGCCGAAAATCGATGTTTCAGTGCCTCTACAATGTAATTCTAAAGCGTGCATGTAAATGTACACTGTATTGTGAGCAGTGAATTCAAGTGCTGCTTTGAGCCGAATTCTGACTTTGGGGCTCACAATTTGGCCGAATTTGGACATTCTCTTAGCCGATCGAAAAGCCGATTAGGCGATTTGGGAAACGCCTACTGATGATCTTAGACAACTGTGTAAGATCATCAGTAGGCGTTTCCCAAATCTAAGATCATCAGTAGGCGTTTCCCAAATCTAAGATCATCAGAAGGCGTTTCCCAAATCGGCCCGATTTTTTCACACAGTTGTCTACATAATAAACTCAGCAAAACCTGGCGGAAATCCTATTCTTCTTATTGCTTTTGCTCTTTGGAGAAATAGATTTCAAAAACATACTGTAGTGTCGCGTATAAAAGCATGACCTGTTATATGTGTACTGTAGTAGCATGACTCGAATAGAAGCCGATTTTTCGAAACGCGCCGTGACGCAAAAGCACGATTTGAATAGAAGCCACTCTTTGCAAAGTACATGTGCGCGTACATGCGCGGCAGTATGCGTTGCACAGTGTAGACTGTTGATCGGTTGACATAGAAGCATGTTTTGAATACGAGTACTGTAAAAGTCATATAATTATATATAAGGGGTCGTCCGTATTTTTCGAAAAATTAAAAAATCCGTCCTCAGGCAGAAAGGGGGTGGGTGGTCAAGAGCGCTGGCGGAATTTATTTTTTTGATTTTCGTACCTTTTTTTTCTTCTTTTTTTTCTTCAGTGACTTTCATACACTTGTTGCACTGACATGTAGTGCATGCACTGTAGACGCCAGTAGTGTAGGATCGCAAACACCAGTATGATAATTATACCAGTACATGACTCTTCATGTAGTTGTAGGACGTGCATGGCCGTCGGTAGACCTCCTACTCACTTTACTTAGCTACTAGTACTTGTCATACATGTACATGGAGGTGCAATCAGTGAACATGGGGTCAGGAGTTCTTATTTTCGAGCTGGGCATCGGTAAAAATCAAAAAATTAATGGGAAAAATGGGGGTGGGTGGGTGGGTCAGAGACAATTTTGCACGAGGACGGATTTTTTAATTTTTCGATAATTACGGACGACCCCTAACGAAGTGCTAACTCTAACGAGTTAACGAGGAGAAATCTGTCGTTAAAATAGAAATCGTTATACAGAAATCGACACAGTCATATACAGTCCTACTGAGCGTTGAGAATGGGTGAGAATCGTTACCTTTGGCTTTGGTACACGTAAACTAGTCAATTTTGGGAAATCGTTATATATGCACCTCGTTAGAATAATGGCTTTTACAGTAGAAACATGCCTAGAATAGAAGCATGGTTTGAGCCCCGGCTTATACGGCCAAATAAGACCTGCTTTTATAAGCGACATTACAGTAATTGGAAGAGCATTCCATGGGGGATTGCCAAAAACATTGTGACAAAAACTCAAAACTTGACCCTTTTATAGCCAAAAGCTAGGATATCTCTCAAGTTCTGAATGGATTGTATCTACCCAGAGAATTCAATATAAGCATTGTAAAGCCTGTAGTGTGCAGTGCTTATATTGAATTCTCTGGGTAGATCAGTACAGCAATACGAAGAATAGGATTTCGGCCAGGTTTTGCCCCCATGAACTTGAATCCCGGTCGTTCACTCCACTTGCGCAACAGCACATTTACTGTTCGAACCCCACTAACTACCTTTTTTGGACCCTTTTTCAAGTTTTAAATCTCGCGGCACTGCACATGCACAGTGTACCACAAAATCACGAAAAATCACCAAACACGGGAGCTCTCCAGAGCCAGCGCTCATCTTTTTTTTCTGAATGGACTGTAGCTAGCTTGCTCTACTATAATTCTGAACACTTTTTTACCGGATTACGGGCCTTTTACCGGGATTACATTTACACCGTAGATCTACCAGGGAGTAGTCAAAAATACTATACTCCCATCTATACTATGAACTATGATTCTTCCCCGTGTCGACCCAGCTGCCCGGATCCGGCTACATTTAGCAGACAACATTAAAGTACTGAAGAAAGAGCAATGATCGTGCCCGGGCCAGGGAGCACCGTCACGTCATTGACTGATCAAGAGTCCACTACTTGTACACTTATAACCCCACGGACTCTTCACATAGTCCATTAAATAGGCATGGTTACCCGATCCTGGTCCGACTTTGTCAGATCCCGGAGCAGCTACTCAGGCTGTGACTTGGACGCCACCTCCGGGCGGCTGTAGTGAACACACGCTGTATGGAGAACAAGAGTACCGTATGATGAGATGGCACATGATTATCAATCGCTGGTTACTGTGTATGAGTAAGGAAACAACAGTGACGGCACACAGTGAGTGTTGTACAGTAAGATAGATGTCTCAACGTATCACTTGAAATATGATTCATGTAACTCTTTACCTTGTATAGCTCACAAGCAAGGCTTGCAAGTTACAACAAGAAGAAGACTAGACTCAGCTCAGTATAAGCACAATGACGATACCCGCGAACAGTATACTTATGAGAAACCGGCATCAGAAATATCCAGTGACACTGAGTCAGAGCCGTGTCGTCTTCTGGGCTATTTTCTCATCTTGCTCGGAGTAGCCACGACTGGTCACGAATAATTACTTTCAAGTACAGGTCGTCCCCCGTTAATACGAGTCCGGTTTGTACATAAACCCCGTTAGTACATAAGAAATCTCAAGTCCCGGACGAAACGTGGTCACTTCCATACAAATTTTGTCGGTTAGTACATAATTCGTTAGTACATAACATTTCTCCGTACCCGCATGTCATCTACCTCAATAGTACATAATTTGTTGGTCTTTTGGCCTTCCAGTGGAGGCACATCGTGTTCTAGTTTCTGCTTATGCAAGTTGTGGACGCAATTAGCTCAGAAATCAGAGCGCACATCACAAACCGACAAAGCTCTGTTTTTTTCCGAGTGACTGTACAGGCGCGGCTGGGCATGTATCATGTAAACTGTAGAATCTTCGCTAACTGTGACCGTTATAACATAATTTTTATGTTATATCGAGGGAATCAAGAATATCTCGCTGCCTAGTCGTGGTAGCAAGAAACACTCAGAAAAGTTGAAAAGTGAAAAATTCCGGTACACAAGCAAGTTATGTACACTTTCGTTTAGTACATAAACCCCGTTAATACATAACATTTGTCAAGTCCCAGAGATTATGTATTAACGAGGGACGGCCTGTATAATGAAACTGCACTATGATCATTATTATCATTCATATGCCATCGGACAGCTCCCAATAGAAACATGCCTATTATAAATGATATATGGACATCAGATAGGGTGCGGATATACACGTAGTGTACACAAGTTTACTGTTTAACCGACCCTACAAAGACATGGTCTGTGGATGGTGATTCAACGAGGTAAGTTTTTAAAGATCGCGAAGATCCATAGGTCAACACAGCATAGCATAGCAGTCACACAGCACTGGCCAGGCACAGTGCAGTGAACGCTTCGCACATTCACGCAGAGTCACATTGATCCCACCCGATCAGCAGTGCGTGCGCACATCCACTTTATTCATCCTCCGGTATGTCCTGAATAGCAGGAACCCAGGGGGTTACGATTGACAGCACTGCTTGGTGTCACGTCACGTAGTATTGTGTGTCTCCAGTGCTGTCAAAATGAAGTGGCTTGACATTGGCATTGGAAGCTATTGTTATAGACCAGTCGGAACATTCAACTCCAACAAGGCCAAGTTCAGCTGAGACACACACGGCTAAGCACTCACAAGGAATAGTGGCGCGTTTAGCAAACAGACCAAGAAGCACCACCAGCCCCAGCGGCTCACAGCAGCAGCACCACCAGCCCCAGCGGCTCACAGCAGCACTGAGGACCCGGCTGATCCGTCACTTTCCCTTCTTGCCTGCAAGCGTGGTCAGCTGCTCCTCGACCTTGCTCTGCAAATGTTTCATCTGCTCGTCAACGTCTCCTTTCAGCTGGTACGGAATAGACCAGCAGAACACACCGACACCATAGCCAGAGGGAGAGATGAGCAGTTAGATAATGTATTGACGAGATACGTGCCCCCGGGAAGAAGGAACTTCTTGGCGTGTCCAGACGTAATGGACTGGTAACAGTTAATGCATGACTAAGACATAAGGCCATGAGCGAGGGTCCCTGGTTCGAGTCCTGGTGGTGACAGCATTTTCGGATGGCTTGCATAGACCCCGGTCCTACTGGTAGGATCATCATACACAGATATGCTGCATGGCCTGTGTGTTCGAATATTTGCCTAAAAACTTTGACCCTAAACTGTTGCTAAGGAACAGTGGTAAAGGAGTCCACAGATTTCAGAGGTGATCCTATGTATGCATGTTTTGTGTGTACAGTCAGACCTCGCATAACCGCACACTGCATCCGCTTTCCACAAAAATATCCGGATAGGCGAGGGAACCGGATAATCGAACACACATACTGTATGTACGCATGGCAGGGCCGTAGCAGGCCTGCCGAACATTGGTCCGGCAGCTGCCGGACCAATGTTCGGCAAAAAAAAAAAAAAAAAAAAGCGGGAGCTCACACATATATATATATGTGCGCAGCTCAGGATGTCCACCCATGATGATGTGTGCAATAAGTAGAGGTAGTACATGGTATCAAGTGTATAAACCGGGAGGGGGGGGGGGGGGGGGCGGGGGGGGGTTACATACTCTTGATGTCATGTACATGTACCATGGCAGGAGGAATGGCATGGCAGGAGGTCACAGCACAGGACAACACCCACGTAGATCTACATGCACAGACTCACTATAAATTACTGGTATACGTGTGACGGTATCTTGTAACATGTATATCACATGCCTTTTCAGTGCATTGTGAACTGCTACTGACTATGTACTACATCTGATCATTGCTGACGATAATATACTAGTAATTATCACTTTTAACCACTGGCTTGTGCCAAATAAGTTAGTTGTGGATGTGCCCACTTCCTGTGCCCACTTCCTGCACTTCTTTGCAAGTTGACATGATCGTTACATGTACATGTACATGTACATGCCTTGGAGTACTGGACAGTCATGTCTGTGAATGTTCCTACTCTGTACTTCCTGAAATGTATGGATTCTTTTCTTCCCCCCAATTCTTTCTAGATCCGCTTTGTACCAAAGATATTCTATTGCAATGTCCTTTCTCCTCCTCCAAAGATCCATTTTGGTGCTTGTATCACATGCATTTAGATACTGTTGCTATGCCTTCATAGGCTTCAATAAGTTCTGTTTGGACGGACACAACATGCTGATGCCCTTTTTCCTGACTCATGCAGAAGATCCTTCTTCCTTTTCTCGCCAAATGTCACTCTGCATGGTCACGATTAGGCCACACCAAGTTTTTTCATTGTTTCTCGTCACCGCGCGCGTACCTTTCTTGAGGATTGGACCAAAAAAAAAATCTCGCGTCCCGGTAAACACGCATAAAAAGGCGTTGTAAAAGTACGCGCGGCGTCAAATCTGGAGTGCAGTGCTAGTGCACGAACCGAAGGACGACTTTTGCACCGTGTATGTACGCATACCGGTAGTTCAAGTACCACACCACCACACGACCTGGTCGTCTTCTTTGCTACACACAGTTCCGGTACAAGTCAAGACAGTGCATGACAGTGCACCGTTTTGGACTGACAGTGTTCCGGGCATCGGTAAACTTGCGGCATTGCGGGCTACAAGCACTGTGAAGTTGCCGTGATCATAAATTGGGCCTTTGTAGTGTAAATAGCAGTTTTTGTTTTTCAAACCCTATTTTGTTTTTTTTCCGCCCGCCCGCGTTCCTTTTGAGATTTTCAGGTGACGAGAAACAATGAAATAACTTGGTGTGGCCTTACATACACATACACGCACAATCATGTACCGTGATGATTTTGTACATGTACCGGCATATGTATGAGTGTGGGCTTGGGGGGGGGGGGGGGGGGGGGGCATCGAGATCGGATCTTGCCGGACCAACCAAAATGGGGCTGCTACGGGCCTGCATGGCATATGCTGTAAATCGGTAACCAACGATTTTCTTCCGGATGACGAGGGATCCGGATAAAAGAGGACCGGATAAGCGAGGTCTGACTGTATGTCTTAATTTGAATTTCTTCAATTACACATCCTACAACGCACACTACGGAACTCCATGGCAACAGCCCAGGGCAACAATGGAAGGAGAGTCACGGTGGGATTTTGCACTCCACTGTCATAGCAACTGCTGAAAAAGACCAAAAGTTCTCATCATGATCGATATGCCAGGGTCAAAATTCACATCACAATAGCAATGATAGCAATGATATGCAATGACCTGGACATGGTCTAGCAATTTGCACCCTTACTTTGACGTACAAAGACCTCAACTCAACAAGTATTTAGTTAGAAAATTGAAAAATTCTCAATTGGGGAGCACTTCAGTTCGCGGAGCGGTTTCTCGGGTCCTATATTACTACATGTAGGACCCGTGGTCCTAGACCCGTGGTCTTACATGTAGGATGGCATGCAAGCTTTCATTAAGCAGATGGCAAACTATCCTGCAACTACAAGTACTATGCGACTTGTACCTATTTATTGCTCCATTTCAACTGTAATTCAATGTGTGCTGAGCTCCACAATCCTATGCAGCTTCACTCATCACCGAATGTCACCCATGCTCTGTACCTTCTTCATGTGAACTTTCAGCATGGACGCAATGATAGCGCGCAATTCCTTCTGTGCATTGCCCATGAATGGCCGATCTGCACAGAGCCGCAACACCAAAGCAAGAAAGCACGCGTGTGCGCACACACACACACACACACACAGTGCAAGCAGATTGTCCAATCTGTTGGCTACCGGTTAGCACACTACTCATCAAGGGTGTACTTCGAAGTATGCGGAACAAAGTGCATGCGCTGCAACAACCCGGCAGGAAGACTGGGGCTTGGCAAATGGTTTGTACTCGGTACTATTCAGTACACTTGTAAGTTCCATTGTCCAGCTTGAGTAGGCTACAACAGTGACATGCGGGCATGTATGCTGCAGGCTCGTCAACAGAATATAACCATGCATGCTACGTAGAGAAGATACGTCTCCCCACACTAAGCAAAGTCTACAGATTTCAGTTCTTTTACCAGCGGCGAATGCTGGTTCAAGAATTTGCATCGCGCTAAATAATTTTTAAGGATCATCGGCAATTTACCTTCAGCTTCAGCAGCGTCTTGTCCGTCCACCTCTGGCAGTTCAGATTCATCCATATCTTCAGCTTGTCCCTGAAAGTATACAGCAAAAATACAGCAGTTTGTTTAAAAAGCCATGCTGATAGTAGTTAGGCATGAGAAGATAGAGCAGGGTAGCTGGGAGATGAGAGAAATTACATACAAATAGGCCACAATAATTGACCATAGCATGCTCAGTTCAATGTTGTGTTCCTATTTCTCTTCTCCTCTCACAGTACTATAACACATCAATGGAGGAATGAGCAGTACCTGTGCTGTATTTCCTGCTTCTGTGCCCTCTTCTTCTTCATCGGTATCGGCTAAGTTGACATCAAGAGTAAACAACACAATCAAGGGAAGTTTGCTTGCTGAAGTGCCATACTGTGTGTGTGTGTGTGTGTGTGTGTGTGTGTGTGTGTGTGTGTGTGTGTGTGTGTGTGTGTGTGTGTGTGTGTATGTGCGCACATGCAGTCGAAGGCCTCATCAAACATCTCCATAGGTTTCGATTTGCATATGGGTGATGACCAGAACTTTCCCCTTGCTCCCACGCAAAAGACCTCCGAAATTTGGATGGCCACAAAACATGTGCAACTCATGATACATATTACCAATAGTAGCCCCCCGGGGGGAATGCAACTCTGAGTATGAGCTCCACGATGATGATAACTCACATCACGTGTTTCAAGTATGTATGCACTACGTATAACGGAGGCCAGCATGCACGCAGTCCGAATAGCTGCCACAATCATACTGATGACTTGCATAAGCTGGGTGGGTTTCTCTCAGGGAAAGCTATTCATTAGACACCCTTAGCAAACAACGTTATGTTGTAAACGGTATTACCGTAAGGGGGAAAATACCGTGATTTGGGCTCGGCCTTTAGCAAGATGCACGCTATTTTTAGGATGCTGTTGCCATGAGAATAGCTTTTAGTTCGCGCGGTACAACCATTTTATGTCACCATATACGCGATACAAGGTGAACTGCGTACGGACTATGCAATATTTGGCCAAAAAACGTACCATTGGTCACAACAATAAATCAGCCCCCATAACGTTTTTACGCCGCAGCTTCAACGCTATTTGGGTGATCAAGGTACGAGTACCGTAAAAAAAATAGCGTTACCGTTGTTTGCTAAGGGTGTTTATTACTACGTTGCCACTGGTTGCTAGGGACAGAGTGAGAACACACAACGTGAACAACACTGTGAACAAACCAGAGAGTGCAACTCCACAGCTATCATCGCTTTCATACACCCGTTCTTGTATGGTGGAGTTTGTTTTGTTTAGGTCATCATGAATCGTAGGACACCCCTCCCCTCCCCATGATAACGGCAAATTCGCGTGAATTTTTACTTTTTATACAACAAGCGGGAATGCTGACAAGAATACCCTGGTGATACAGTAAACCGGCAGTAGACACAGCCAATATGACACAAACAACGCCAATATGACACAAACAACGCCAATATGACACAAACAACGCCAATATGACACAAACAACGCCAATATGACACAAACAACGCCAATATGACACAAACAACGCCAATATGACACAAACAACGCCAATATGACACAAACAACGCCAATATGACACAAACAACGCCAATATGACACAAACAACGCCAATATGACACAAACAACGCCAATATGACACAAACAACAACATTTTGCCGTGGGGTCTTTCGCCGGGAGTGGCGCAACTTGGTTCGCGCACTCTTCGTATTACATGTAGTATTACCATGATTACTGTTTGTTGTTGCATGCTACTAGTGGCCTTGCCCAGTGCTCAGTAATCTGGTAATCTAGCGTGGCCAGTCCATGATTGTCTCACCTGGTCTTGGTTCATCATTGTAATGGAGACGCAAGTCCAGCATGTACTGTGCCAAGAACAAACGCACACATGTATCCACTCAAGCACACACAGAGCACAACAAGCGCTTGGCACACGGCATAGAAAACTACTTCAAAGTAAGATTACCCAACCGTGAGTGACTTTGATGGACAAACCAGCTTTGCATGATACTGAGGACATGTATACACACTCCGTATTAGTCACACACCATCATGATATTAGGTTAGGTTCTTCTTCCTTGTTCAACTTGCAAATGTGCACAGGATACTCAGACAAGCAAGTTACAATATACGATGTACTGCACTGAAGTACACACATCACTTCACACTGAGTCCGCAGATGCAGTACAGTGGGTATACACACATCACTTCACACTGAGTCCGCAGATGCAGTACAGTGGGTATGGAGCTACATGTGGTCACATACAGAGAAATGGAATGACAGTCACTGCCATTCTCATGTAGAGAGTGCCAGTGTGGCTACAGTACCTGTGGAGTAAAGGCATACTTGTACAGCTTGTGATGACGGAAATACCTGAACAGTTACATGCACACATACATGCATACACGCCCGCATGCACACACCCACACCCATGGAGAGAGAGAGAGAGAGAGAGAGAGAGAGAGAGAGAGAGAGAGAGAGAGATAGAGAGAGAGAGAGAGAGAGAGAGAGAGAGAGAGAGAGAGAGAGAGAGAGAGAGAGAGAGAGAGAGAGAGAGAGAGAGAGAGAGAGAGAGAGAGAGAGAGACAGACAGACAGACAGACAGATACACACAGAGAGACACATGGAGAAAGAGAGAGAGAGAGAGAGAGAGAGAGAGAGAGAGAGAGAGAGGGGGGGGGGGGGGAGACCGCGAGACACAGAGACAGACAGATATACAGACATATAGACAGAAAGAGACATAGAGAGACGGAGACAGACACAGAGAGACGGAGACAGACACAGAGAGAAACAGACTGAGACAGATTGAGATTGATGTGGCAGGATATGACGAGATAGCCCATCATGTCATCACACCCTTCTCAGTTTCCTTCCATGCTACATGCGGAACACTGTCGTTATACTAGGGCTTACCATCAGGCTGAAACTAACATACTCCAGTGGATACGGAAAGGGAAGAATTACTGCCTTCTCAGCTACCTCAAGCATATCAAAGAAAACTCACGTGTCGTTCATGTAGTTGTTGATTTTGACTGCCTGCTGATGTGTGAACAATCCAATTGCTACTGGAGGTCTCTGTACATGTACAAAGCAGGGGCACCAAGTTGGGCTGACGCGTTTTTTTCAGGTTAACTCTAGCGACCGGTTTGTTTGTGACAACAAAACAATTATATTATAGATGAGGTTGTGGTACAGTGAAACGTTGGAATTCCGACCCTGGTACCTTTCGGATCTGGCAAAGTGGTCTAGTTTTCGAGGTGATCTGATTCGTGAAAAGACCATCCTGTTTTCGCGCTTATTGAGCAAAATTTGGGACCGAGCAAAATTAGTTGGATCGATGAGGTGATTGGAAAGCAAGGTTCCACTATAAGTGATTTGTATTCGTTAGCCGTGTCTGGCCGGGAACCAGCTTGAACTTACAATGCCTTACAATTTTCTGTCACTTTGCTCCAAGAAGCGGGTGTAGTTCAGGACATAGAATTCCTGGATCTTAGTGTTGGAGATGCGAATTTGGCAACCTGAACCAGAACTACAAGCGAGCATCCCAAAGGACCCACAGGGGGCAACCACTGGGTGCTTCCTCCAGCAATCATTTTCATGACATCTCTGGATGACGCGATCATACCCATCACATGATCCTAAGCATTGTGTCCGCAATATTTACCGCGATGACATGGCCGCCTGCACCGATTCCTCTCCGAGTAGCTCAGCGGCAAACGCACATTCACACGGTTCGTCCTCACACGTCCAGATACCTACTTCTAACACACCAACTTCCTCAATTTAACATTGAGTTTACTGTCCGATTCGCGGCATGCCTCAAAGGGTCCGAATTGTTTTTCAAGCCAAATCTACCATTACATTTTGCTTTGGCGACCTATTCCTTTGTGGACAAAGCATTCAGCCCCAGTCAATTAAGTTAGCTTCTGGAAGCCAATGACTACCCAAGAAGCATGATTAGTGATTAGGTCAGTGATCAAACATGTGTCCAAACCGCACATGCGGCGGCTCATGAAAGAAGCCATGCCAGAGGCAGGACTAATTCTTTTATCAGCGAATCACTCGCCGCTCTGGTTTTCCAATGTGAAGTAGACGCGTCTTGGCACACTTTGTACTACTCGCACTATACTATACTCAAATCGTATGCATGTGATCATCAGCTGGCATGCGAGCTGGGCCACAGTTGTTACCTGCCGGTGCCCAATCTTAATTAAATGGGTTTCACGCCAACTCCCCTACCTGAACGCTGTGCAATGCCATGAGTTCCTGGAATTGACTAACCATCTCCGGCAGGTTGTCCGCATCCGTCTCTGCATAAACAACACACACACGCACACACACGCGCGCACACACACACACACACACACACACACACACACACACACACACACACACATGTATCCCTGCTCCAACACCCCTGGAGTTGTAGTGCTGTGTAGCACTTTTTTTTTTAATTTTAATTTCGGCTATTATGGCTTGACTGTAACATTATACTTCCACTGGGGGGGGGGGGGGGGGGGAACATGGGTGGGGGGGGGGGGGTGAGAGACATGGGGAAATTGCCATAACGATGTACATGTAGGGTTGTGAGTCTGCCTCTCGGCACCGGAATTACAGCTTGCTTGATTCGACTCTACTGAGCGACGATGATCCATGCCTTGATATCTTGATCTGGTGAGCTGCGTCATGGGGATTTTGCAGTCATATGTGCGACCGTGTTGGGAGAGTGTGTGTGTGGGGGGGGGGGGGGGGGGGGGGGCTCGGGTGGCAGCCAAATGCAGTACTTAATGTACTAACGGGGACCCCGAGATGATGCTGAGCTCATGCCAAGATGCCTGCACACTGGCAGGCTGTATCAGTGCATGTTCTCGTTACTTGACTTTTCCTCCTTTTTGCACTGGTTCCTTTCCTCTAACATATCCTATGTACATGTATGGTGCAGGGTAACTCACCTAGCATATACTTTGATAAGACGTACACTTGCCTAGTACGGGAATTGCCTAGGGTATGGGTCACTCAGTGTATTACATATGCCCAATTAGGAAGTAAGTTTGGATAAGAAATACCTGGGACTACTAAGTACACAGCTCCGGTTCCCTGTGGGGGTACGTCCTGTGGGGTACGTCCTGTGGGGTACGTCCGGTGGGGTACGTCCCGTGGGGGTACGTCCCGTGGGGTACGTCCCGTGGGGGTACGTCCTGTGGGGGTACGTCCTGTGGGGGTACATCCTGTGGGGGTACGTACTGTGGGGTACGTCCTGTGGGGTACGTCCTGTGGGGTACGTCCTGTGGGGTACGCCCTGTGGGGGTACGTCCCGTGGGGTACGTCCTGTGGGGTACGTCCTGTGGGGGTACGTCCTGTGGATACGTCCCGTGGGATACGCCCTGTGGGGTACGTCCTGTGGGGGTACGTCCCGTGGGGTACCTACTGTGGGGTACGTCCTGTGGTGGTACGTCCTGTGGGGTACGTCCTGTGGGGTACGTCCTGTGGGGTACGTCCTGTGGGGTATGTCCTGTGGGGGTACGTCCTGTGGGGTATGTCCTGTGGGGGTACGTCCTATGGGGTAGTACGTCCTGTGGGGTATGTCCTGTGGGGGTACGTCCTATGGGGTAGTACGTCCTGTGGGGTATGTCCTGTGGGGGTACGTCCTATGGGGTAGTACGTCCTGTGGGGTACGTCCTGTGGGGTACGTCCTGTGGGGTACGTCCCGTGGGGGTACGTCCCGTGGGGTACGTCCCGTGGGGGTACGTCCCGTGGGGTACGTCCCGTGGGGGTACGTCCTGTGGGGGTACGTACTGTGGGGTACGTCCTGTGGGGTACGTCCTGTGGGGTACGTCCTGTGGGGTACGCCCTGTGGGGGTACGTCCCGTGGGGTACGTTCCGTGGGGTACGTCCTGTGGATACGTCCCGTGGGATACGCCCTGTGGGGGTACATCCTGTGGGGGTACGTCCCGTGGGGTACATACTGTGGGGTACGTCCTGTGGAGGTACGTCCTGTGGGGTACGTCCTGTGGGGTACGTCCTGTGGGGTACGTCCTGTGGGGTACGTCCTGTGGGGGTACGTCCTGTGGGGTATGTCCTGTGGGGGTACGTCCTGTGGGGTATGTCCTGTGGGGGTACGTCCTATGGGGTAGTACGTCCTGTGGGGTATGTCCTGTGGGGGTACGTCCTATGGGGTAGTACGTCCTGTGGGGTATGTCCTGTGGGGGTACGTCCTATGGGGTAGTACGTCCTGTGGGGTATGTCCTGTGGGGGTATGTTCTGCGGGGGTACGTTCTGCGGGGGTACGTCTTATGAGAGTTCTACTGTTAGTGTAGCTTACAACCGTTCGACTAACTGTGCAACACTGTCACAAACCCTGGCCTGAGGCTGGTCGGGAAGAGCGCGCATACAATACCTTACTTATGCAAGTGTTGTGAATGGCGCTCAGGATCGAGAAGAATGTCGAGGTCTGTGCAACATCCAAGTCCTGTTTATCAGACCATCTGCATCCAGCCAGTCAGTGTAGATCACAAGGAAACTGTCAAGGACTATACCGACTCTGTGACAGTGCTGGGGGGGGGGGGGGGGGCACAGTTAGTGGACCCCTGCTGCACTGGAATCTGGGAAATGATACTCGAAAACTTTAGCTTCCATCAAGTACCCCGTGTCACGCAGCCTGTGAAGATCATAAGATCTTCTTCTGGAAGATAAAGCTTGTGACATACGGGCTCTAGCCTGGACCTAGAACATGCCAAACAGTCACATGTTATCTGTGCAAAGAGAAGCCGTCACAAAGGATGGCATTGCTGCACTGTTTCCATCACCGTCCAACTGCTCAACTCTGTCACTGGTCACTGGAGATGAGGATACTGCAGTGCATTGTAGTAGAGTTCAGTCATTAGAGGTGTTCGCTTGCCGTGCTTCTTCAACTCCAGCCAAGTCTCTATCAATCTGAAACCAAAGTGCATCCAAAGCAGAAGCATTCAAACCAGCACAGGGAATACCGGTATGTACCATTCAAATCAGGGGGTACTAAAAATGGAGAAGCTGCTTATTAGCACTCTCTGATTACAGTTGTTGAACACAACGACACAAACTGGTCATGGCACTAGTGCCATTGCCAGATCTGGAAATATTGTTGAAGGACCCAGTGTCACCGAATGCCACACAAACCAAGCACTGGAACTCACCCACTAAGGTTCTTCCCTTATGGCATACACATACATGCATATGCACATCCAGGGGTGCGCACAAACGCTTTCGGAACTGGTGTGGATCCGGTAAGGTGTCACACAATGCAGCTTTATTCCTCTACTCAAGTTACTCGTACATCACATCATAGCCTGCTTATATTGACTCCTCAGTTTCGAGTCACGGCGGCTGCAAATCGTCTGTCAAGGCTTATAGGCTTTTAAACAATAGACATGCTCAGGGTACTAGTAACTCAGAGTTGAACTCAGCGGCACCATGTCACCATGTCACCATGTCACCAAGTTGGCAACCAAGAGCTGCACTTCATTTCACAGAATATCACAAGGCAGAGGTTAGATCTACATGTAGTTTCAATGATTCAATTTCCCGAACGCCAAAGAAATTGTTTTCTCAAAACTCGGCAACCTTCCACCGTGAGTCTACGTAAAACCACTGAGAAAGTAACCGATGTATTTTGATATCTGTGCAAAAATGAAAGTGGTCTTTTATGCTGTCACAGAACTTGTCCATATCAATGCAATTATTTAGTTCTGCAAATCACAAGCCAGCCTAGTATAGTATGATACCCAATGTGATACCCAATCAGTGCTGCTCTTAGCCCAGTCCGGCCTACCCAATGTGATACCCAATCAGTGCTGCTCTTAGCCCAGTCCGGCCTACCTTAGCTTTTCAGACCTGCTTTGACAGTGCTGATATTGTAGGATGTGCTCCTCGTGAAGCTGTGACCTAGCACAGGTACATGCACATGCACAGCAGGTACAAGGAGATGGCAGTGTTACCATGGACAGGCTACAGGCTACATGTAGTCAGTAAGGAAGTGCCATCGACAAAGATGAATTTGCGCTCTACTCATGCAAGTACAGTGCTGGCAACTGAAATCCGACCCCCCCCCCCCTACCGTCTCGTACGAATCGCTAACGGCGCGGCTAGCGCACCGCTAGGGGGGGGGGGGGGGATTTCAGTTGCCAGCAGTGTATGTAGATGTACATAGTATTGAGCAGTTCAATAAACTTCTTGCTGTGACTTTCAAAGCACCGGGGTAACGTCAAAAGGACCATTGCATCATGAAGGCAGCTCAAGCCAGAGCGTCCCACACTCGCCCATGATCACAAATGCGCGTGCCCAGGTATCCCACGCTCGCCCATGATCACGAATGTCACCTTCAGCTGTCCCACAGGTTCTATTCCTTCGTTACAAGACAAAGCAAATGGCAATCATGGATAGCTCGATCGATGTTTCATGTTGTCTTGTATAGGGAGTAACATTGAAAAATTGTCTTATAACGGGTTGTCTTGTACATGGGTCTGGGGGAAAATAATTGTTTTATTAAAAGAAAGTAAATTATCGTGTCCGTTCCCGAAGGGAACTCACGACGGCCGCTAACACCCGGCAAACCCTAGCGACAGATGCAAGGGCCTAACGGTGGGGGTAAGTGGATAAGTATCACAACCATTGTCTAATGGCAAGTAAGGAAACTTCGGAGGCAGATACAATGAAGGAGGCAAAACCGGCAGCAGCAGAATGTGCAAGTCCCGATAGTAGATAATCTAAGATAAAACCCGTTACAGGTCTACCCTCGTTAGTAGACAACCGGGGGGGGGGGGGGGATCAACTTTTTTTTGTCATGTAACGAGTTTTACCTACTATCCAGACTTGTACAATTCGCTGCTTTTTGCCTCATTCATCGTGTAGGTTAGGTGGTTGGGAAAACTACATGTATAAGACAATTCTTTTCCCCCAGACCCCTGTACAAGACAGCCCGTTATTTGACAATTGTTCAATGTTACCCCCTATACAAGACAACATGAAACATCGATCGAGCTATCCATGATGGCCATTTGCTTTGTCTTGTGATGAAGGAATATGAGCCAGCACAAGCGAAAAGAGACCTTATCCGTTTTTTGGGCATTTTGAGTTAGCAACGGATTCTTGTAGCCAGACAACGTATGAATCAGGTAAAAAAAACCGAATGAAAATCCATCAACATATAGCAAAGTTACGGACGTTTAAATCAACACTGTTTTCACCAAAACATCGCACATATTCACGAATAATCTTTGAAATGCGTAAATTGCAATAATTTGGCCGTAGAAGCCTTACAGAAGCCTTCGAGTCACCAGCAGAAGGGCTGGAGGATACAGTATACACACACTACTAGGCAGTTGGCATAAGTTTCACTGTGATGGAATTTATAGTGCCAAACGTGACGTCTGATGGGCCATCACGTCCTTCCGTACCACGCAGGCACGCCGCATTTTAGATACAAGAATAATAGAATGTTCCGAGGCATGTAGCTTTGACACAGCACCAGACTGTAGCAATTATCAGGCTCAAAACGTGTGTTCCACTACGCAAGTTTGTCATTCCTCCGGCACAGGCGGACACAGCTCATCCTTGTAAGGGTCTGCCACAAACGGGCGGATATCCTTGAACAGGTACTTCTGGCGTTCTTGTGACAGACCTGCTGGGGGCAACACTTGGGGAAGGCCTGCTGCCCTCACCTGCTCAGGTGTGGTCTTCAACAGCTGCACCTTGGTTTCCATCCCATCCACAAGCTCCATCACTGCCACTGCTCCAGGTTCGTCGGATGAGAACCGGAAATGATGCTGCTGGCTGATGTTGGGGACTTTTTTGAAGAGCCGGGCGAGGTACGTATCCCACTCAAACCAGGTCACATTGCCCGGGATCCGTCGATGGATGTTGGAGGTAGCGCTGGAGTCAACCACATCTGCTAACTGCTGCATGCTGAACACGTCAGAGCGACGGTATTTCCTCTTAACCAAGCCAAACATACCGTCGACTAGGCATCTGGTATGGCCGGTTATCATAAACGACAATGTTATACTTCTGTGCAAATTGACAATGCAATGCCATGCAAGGTAAGCTATAACAGACTTATTTTTGTTTTGTCCTGCGCAATTATCTGCATGTACGTAGCAGTCATACTCATCAGCAACAGAAGTGGAAAAATAGTCGTGCAACAAAGAAATTACAGTGTTCGGATTGTGGCTCTTCTTGCCGTCAGGACCGATGGTTTCTGCCTCGTCAATAATGTAGTTCACCTGTTGGCCAACGCCTTCATTACATACACCAAACAAGTGGACTTTCCGAGGCACTTTGAAGTAAAGTGGTCCTACCTGTCTGGCCGTATACGGCAAGCTGACGCTCTGAGCAAAGTCAAACGTGTAGTGGGACTTTGTTAACGGCGGGCGATCAGCAGGAGACATGGCTGAAACTTGCTGAAGCTCAGCGGCAGCATCTGTGGTTCTCTGCCGGTAGCTTTCTCTCTCCCTCTGGGCCCTATGAACATGGTCAGTCAGCTGAGTGCATGCGGTCGTCTTCTGCTCCTCACTCCCAGCCGCCATCACGTTGCGCCGCAAGTCCTCGCACACAGGGCAAACATCCATGCGAGCCGTCATGAACTTAATATGCGGTAATGTCTGGTGCCAGATTGAGCGGAACGTCGACAAGGATACAGACTTCTTACCCTCCTTGTGGCAGCAGTCGCAGAAGTCTCCATGCACGGACTTGTACGTTTGCGACGCTGGAAGGAAGATAGGTGGCGTGTCTTCTCTGCCACGGAGCGGCGCAGGATGTGGAATTCCAAACACTTCCGCGTGCCCAGTGATGTATTCCACGCAGTACTTCACAACAGCAAACTCCAGGGCATTGTGTGGCCGTTTGCCTGTGTTGCCGTGCACTAGTGGCACAAGCCCATTCTTCTCCAGGTGGCTTCTGTACCGTTTCAGCCTCTTGCTAGACAGTGCGTACACGTGACGGAACGCACCCACACAAACAGTCAGTCCTTGGAATTTGTAGGTAAAACGCTCCCTCTTGCGCTTCTCTCCACTCTCAAAAACTGTCTCAGGATGACTCAAAGCTTCAAGAAGGCCCAGGACCACCAGCTCACTCTCGTGCGACTCCATTTCTCTCATGTTGAGGATCGACGTCTCGATGTCAGCTGGGTCAAATTGCTGCAAGCAATTTTTTGAACATCCGCAGTTCTCTTTTTGACGAACAGTGTCATCCTCCTCTGCCGGCGCAACGGTCGCTGCACAAGCTGCTGCGGAGCTAGCCTGCGGAGGTTTGGGCTCTGCCTTTCCGACATACAGCTCTGCTGCTGCATCGACATCCACTCGCTGCTCAAGAAAGTGTTCACCATCGTCATCGTCATCGTCATCGCCATCATCGTCGCCGTCGTCAGATTGAACCGAAACATCACTGGCGTCCGACTCGTCTTCCTCACCAAAAACTTCAGCCTCATCCTCTTCCAGGAGAGATTTCAGCGCTTCGTTCACAGTGAAACATTTACGATGGCTCATAGTGAAGAGCTACGCCGACCCAAGGACTTAGCAGAAAGCGAAGACGGCAAGACAACTGCGCTGAAACTGTGAAAGCAACTTTTTGTCTTTCCGCTCGCGCGTGCGATTCTATTCAGCGTAGGTGTCGACGTGTCACGGTCGATCGATTTTGATCGCCGATCGGTGGTACGTGGGTCGATTTAGCCAGGGTTTTCTTCTACAGGAGCTGTAGGATACTGGCTCTCCAATAGAAAGAATGACTGAGCTCCAAAGAAGTCGCGTATCGCCAAAAAACGAACAGTTTCAAGTTTGATCCGAACGTGACAGCTGAGAATCAGCTGATTCACTTCAAGTGCGGTTTTCTCAAAATCACGTGCAGCAGGATAAGGTCCCTTTTCGCTTGCGCCGGCTCATATAACCTGTCAGGTGGGACAGCAGAACTGAAGGTGTGTCGGTGTGTCGGTGTCTACTGTTGAGGTTTGTCTTGTAACCTATGTTGAACTAACGAGGATAGACCTTACTTCGAAGTATAAGACAAAAGTGTTGAGCCCCAGGGGTTGTCTACTACCGAGGGTAGAATTGTACTCAAATCACAACTGTCCGTCCTTCTAAATAACCGACGAGGAGACAACAGTCGTAAAATAGCAATGAAAAATATCAATTGTGCACTCATAACCATGTATAAACAATTAAAATGAAACAATTCCAGAACGTTTTCTCGTGACTATCATCAGTGGAATATCGTCACATAGTAAAAATCACTAAAACAACCAGTTATATAGCTAGAATAATATGAAAAGAAGCGTGAGAATGCAGCAGCTGTTATTTGTTGCTCACGTTTCTTTGCAGTTGCAGGTGTTGGAAGCTGTATATATTCGCACACGTGACCCTGTGCTATGCAGCAAAAAGAAAATGTTGTAGCACTCACACTTTTTAAATAATACGCACTCACCAGTTTTGTCCACACGCACTCACAGCTTCCACATTCATCTACTGCTACCATTCTGAGATACACTGCGCAAGTTCACACTACACGCGTTATGCATAACCACTAGCTGCTGCATTTCATATTATTCTAGCTATATAACTGGTTGTTTTAGTGATTCTTACTATGTGACGATGTTCCACTGATGATAGTCGCGAGAAAACGTTGTGGAATTGTTTCATTTTAATTGTTTATACATGGTTATGAGTGCACAATTGATATTTTTCATTGCTATGTTCGTCCTTCTGTTTGTGTAAACGATAATAGTTTATCATTCTGAATTAATATTTCAATACTACCGGCCTAGCTAATCTACTTGGGATAGTGTATCCCAACACCATCTCGAACGATGAGCTCTATCGGCAATGCAGCAGTTCGCCCCTCTCGGCAACCGTGAAAAGCCGTCGAATGGCCATGCTTGGCCATGTACTCCGCATGGATCCTGACACACCACCTCAAAAAGCAATGCAGCTTTACGTCAGCCTACAAACTGCTATTCGGAGGGAAGACCAACAACCACACTGGCGACTACAATTCGGAAAGAGCTTGAAGTCGAAGGAATTCCAATGAAGTCGGCACCCGACTTGGCCAAACTACGCCAGTTGGCGCAAGATCGCCAGGAATGGAAGAGTTTATGGAATACGGAATCCGAATAACTAACTCGGACGAAGGCCTGCAGCAGTCTGCGACTAGCTTCATGTCATCTGCTTTCTTTCATCTTGTTTGATTGTTAGTGCGTGTGTGCTTTTGCCATCTTGCTGAAGAAACACAGAGGCGGAACAGGATATGGTATGTTTTTACTTTGTATTTATCTACCGTATCTCCATCACGCGAAGCTGTGTAATAATAATAATAATATTAATAATAATACCGGCCTAGCAGTGAAGGAAGGCTGATTGTCATGTCTCCGAGAACCTTACCAAGTCAAGAACTCTAGCCCTCCTTCCTCCTTCCCTGGGAATGTCATGTCAGCCATTTCCAACTGCACTGTCCTCGGCAGACCACGTCGGTCCTGCTTTGACTTTTGAGCACAGCACACTATCACAGTACTAGTATCAAGCACCGCAGGGTGCCGGGTCTGTTGATGATTTCGAACGCAAACAGGTACAGCCGGACGTTCGTTCTCCTGCGCCAATGTTTTTTGGGCTGTCAACTCAATAGCGTGCTCTGGTGATCCTGAAGTTCTGAACTGAGAACAGCTGTATCAGTGCACCGGGCGCTATTTGCCGTAGCGATCATTCGTTGTTTCCCGGAAACTACAGGTCTCTGTCCAAATGTGAGGCCCACCGACACCGTCCGTGCACATGCAAACAGGCACAAACACACCTACAAAAAAAGTAGAAGAGAACTAACTATAACTAACTATTACTTACTTGCTACTGCCTACTTTACTGGTCACTGCCAACAAGCTTGTCACAGCTCGAAATGAATGACCTGCGCGTGCTGTGTGTCCCCGTTCTATCATTATTCTTTTCAAGCCAAAGGCAAAGGCAAAGAATCATCATCTCCCCCCGACCGAGATGCGAGACTGACTAGTCGACTGTGCCGTCTGTCATTACATAATAATTATTGTTGTAGTGATGTTCTGCTCTACGTCACAAATCGTTGACTGCCATGCCTGCCATGCTTGCTGGACTGTCTGCATCAGGGAGTCGTATACTCCCTGGTCTGCGGTCTGTGGAAGCGGATCACCATCACCGGCCCCTGCCAAACACAAAAACAGTGACTGAGCAAGAGCAAAATACCGGGCAAGCCTGGTGCCAGGCCCATGGTAACGGTTGCCAATAACCAAAGACAAAAATTGATGGTGACACTTGAAAGATGGTGTCCGGGCATGAACATGATGAAGCCTGAAGGCATGATCCAGCAACTCCAGCTACTGAGCTAGCTCCAGGCCAGGGCCGGCTAGGCCCTGGCTTTCCATGTTGGCATGTACCAGGCGGCAGGCCTTACTTGTAAAAAAGTACTTCTCCCTGGTTCAAACAGGGACATGGCATACTATTACCATGATTACTATTAGTATTAGTATGGACAATGGTTCGACCATGAAAATAATAATAATTCGCTATAAATATCATAATTATAGCGGAGTCGGCTGATTAGACAGTGATAGACCTACACCGTTGTAGTACACCGGCTACAAGACTACAAGTACTGAGTCTGTACACAGTACGCAGAGAAGGGATCCCTACTGGCTAGAAACGTTATCCGTCTCAGCCATAGAAGTGCATTGAATATGCCAAATGTTGGAACATCATTGCTTCATGGTATCCACGGTGTAGATCCACCACGCGCATTACCATCCAGAAGCACACACACACACACACCTTGACCTTGACCTTTGACGCCCATCGCCGGAGGCGATGATAGCAATGCTACGGCAGAAGCCATAGCAACTTGTGCTGGGATTGCACCATTCAACAGCTTGCAAGGCTGAAGAATTGACCGTCACTATTCAGCCTGGTCTACACCATACAGCTATTTGAAGTGACTTTTTCTGGCCAGTGAATCCCTATTTTTGGTCTTTTTTTTTTCTTTTTTTCCCACACACACATCACACCACATACTCCAGCATGCACTGGCTGTTGGTAACCACCCAGGAGAATGAAAGAAAAGTCAGGAAGAGTCTGAGAAAGAGAAGAAAGACGTGTGTGACCATAATCGTCGGGAATCGAACCCGCAACCTATCGATTGGAAATCGCTGCACATACCACTGCACCATATGGGACACACACACACACACACACACACACACACACACACACACACACACACACACACACACACACACACACACACACACACCACAAGTACTGGTATTCTCTGCTACGACTGGTAGCAGAGGAATTCAATCTACCATCACGGAAATCAAGATGGGACCGGATAGACCGATTCGGACCTGCAGCACTGTGCAGATCAATTTGACGTAGAGGGTTATCAACGACACTTAATCTCAGGAGCAGCAAGTACATGTACGCCGCCGTGACTGGCTGAATATGACCCGTACCGGGAGCAGGCAATGGGGCAGCATTGACCCATAAATACAAACACAAACCAATCCAGAACTATCTCGCAATTATTACGCTCTGCGGAATATTAGAAAATTAAGTGGCTGAAAATTGAATCTCAATCGCCGGCTTTGCATCGCTCTGCAATGCACAACAGCGGCTTTAGAGTTTACATGCATGACAATCGGTGCAGTGTCTCTCATACGTACAAACTGAGCAGGCGCCAATAAGCAGAGAAACTGAACAAAAATTGCAAAATTATCCTCATTTCATTATTCTCTGACAATGGGCACAAAACAGAAGAAAAAGCTGGTCAAGCGAAGCTCATTTTGAGGCATACACAACCTCATATAAGAACTCAGAAGAGTTCGTCAGTCCAATTTCATTGTCGTATTGATCCCTAGCTGGCAGAAGATCGGCAGGGAAGCCAGACACAACGGCGTTGCGGATTCTATTTCAAGACGGTGAACGGAGAGATGATCCTAGACACCCTTGTGGTATCTACCAGTACAACTGACGTGCAAGCAGGAAGTTTTCTTGCAGTTCCCTGCCAGAAATTGCCGCCTAGGTCACACGTCCATGTGTGAGCATCACTGCTTCTCCGGTGCGCAGCTGCCGTGTTGTGAACACACTAGCTACACCAGGCCAGGACAGAATCATTCCTGCACTAGAGTAGAGCCGACGTGTACGAACATGAATAGCGACGCGCGTCAATTGCACGCCAAGATTAGCCCCGTTTTTGCACGTTGTAAGCCAAGCTTAGCACCCTGCCTAGCCCTGCTTTTCTGCGCACATGTCACAGTGCTTGTAGAATGCTTGTATTTCCATCTTGAAAGCCTTCTTGCACACAGGACAAACACGCTCAACGCCGTGGCCAGAGGCGGCTACACTACCGCCACCGCCGCCGCTGCCGGTGTCCATGGGCTTCACGAACGGGATTGGTTTCATTTCACCGCTTCGATCGCCGTGCATCTGCGACTGCACCACGGTGCTGGAATCCAGTGGCTTTGCGAATGGCATGTGTTTGGCTTCACCGCCTCTTGCACCTCTACTAACATCACCTCTCGCATGCATGCCATCGCTCACATATACGGGTTGCCGAGTGGGGGTACAATCTCGTGCGGTCTGTATGATGTGGCATAAGCATAAAAAACAATAGCACACAGTCAGGTTTGGCATTGTTCTTTTCTGCCCAAAATAGCAAGCGAGTAACGTTTTTCTTCTTTCTAACCACACAACACGTGACAACAGTATCAAATATAGAGGATGAATGTACTAAAAGCTGGAGGCACTTCTTCACTGTTCCATATTATTCCAAGCTACATGTGCAATCATAAAACTCTCCAGAAGTGGCAAAGATCATAATAGGCAAAGAAAAGACCTACCAGTCCTTCAGGTTGGTAGCCCATCGCTGGTCCCGTTGGAGGTAGACGCCCGCCGCTTGCCATTCTAGGTACCTGTATCAAGAAATATGCAGAATGTATTCTTAGATTTTCAATTTGCAGACATAAACAGACACATTTGCAGATGTCCCATGTTTTGCTAACCATCTAACAAAGCAATGCACAATGAGTACCCAAAGCACTATGAAGGCCAAAGTCATGCACTGATATATTCCTCAGTGAGGACATGTTCTATCAAAGCAAATAATAGTCGAGTATTGCTTTCTCTCACCTCCTTCAGCATTATGTTCTCCTTGTGGAGTTTGCTCATGTTGTCGGACATTTCCACAAGTCTTTCGGATAGCTTCTGCTCTCTTTCCTTGCTTTGGTTGAGGTGCTGGCGTATGGTATCTCGGTCCGTAGTCATCTGGTTTAATTTATATTGCGTTTGGCTTAGAGTGGCATTGAGCTGATTTTGCTGGCGCTTGGCTTGACGGAAGTTTTCGTTAAGCTGGGCGACTAAATTCTGCAATTGCCTTTGCTTGCCAGTGAGTTCCTGGACAGACAGCCAGAGGTAAACCAAGCACATTTCAGCCACCAGACAACAACGGATCTGTCGACACATGATCCAAAACGGCCAGGAATTTTCATGATCTAAGATGCATCAAACAACCTTTAATTCAAACTTGTTGCGTGCACGCACGCACACACACGTACGCACGCACACACACACACACACACACACACACACACGCACACGAATAGAATAGTCATCAACCGTGTGGCTGTCCAGTTGCTTTCGTCTCATACCTGCTTTTCAGCTGCAAACGTTCTTTCCAACATAGCTTCACGCTCCTGATTGCCCTGAATAAGGGCTTGCTGTTCTGCACTGCGCCTCTCCATCTCCTCCCGTAACCGAGAGAAGTTGGCGTTGTCTTCTTGTCGCTGACGAGAGACATTGTCTATGTCCTCATACAACTTTGCAACCTAAGGAAGATTGAAGGCAAGAAAAAAAGAACTTCTAAAAGTGAGCAAATCTTTTTGAAACACCATGCGTGGAGCCAGTGAGTGAAATGCACAACGTAAAATCAAATCCTTCAAATTGACACATCTTGTATCTCAGTGGTAACACACCACGGAACAGTTTGGGAATTCCACTGGGAATAATCTGGGAATGTGTCACAATCCAAGTGTTCCAGGAGAAAGTAATGGAAATAACTGAACCCCCAATGCACGTACAGCTGTACGCACCTGAACCAGAAACTCATGACCAGAACTATTGGAAATTATAATATGCAGACCAACTGAGATATGGCGATGGGGTAGAGCATCAGACAAACATGACCCAAGCAGAGTAGCAGCAGCTGCCTTGCAGGATATCTACATACCATTTCATTGAGCTGCTCCGCTTCTGCCTGATGCTTACACTGTGGGGATCAGATGGGACAGTCACCAGCAACACCAGCAATGAGTACAATGCTAAGTAGGCCTCTTGCAGTGACAACAAGGAAATGGCCCTAATTGGCACAGGATTACTAGTACTTCGTAGCAGGCCTAGCAGCACCCAGCGCTTGCAGCAGTACTTGTGTTGTGACACTCCAGCAGTCAAAGCTCTGCACGTGCTTGTGTCATTACATTACTAACACAAGCCACACAAGGGAAGGAGAAAATAATTACAAGCCAGGAAAGGGACAAACCGTCACCAATGCATCAGGTAGACCAACAACACAACACCAGTGGTCAACATGCCCCCAGCTGAGGCAAGAAGCAAGAGTAGATTATTCAGATTCAGCTGATCATAGCCTCCAATACAGACTGCAAGAGCAAGTGGTAGAGCTCGTCAAAGCAGCTGAAATCTGAATCTGAATCCTTTCCGACCAAAGGTCGTCGGACAATTCCAGCATGGGGCGATAGCGCGGTTTTGTAACGTCACTGTACTTACACATTGCTGGTTCGGGGTTGGCGCTTGCTGTTGGCGCTTCTGCAGCTCAGCTGTAAGCATTTCGCACAATCTCGTTTTCGTCACCACTGCTCTTTCACTCCTTTCCAGACGCTGCTCAAGCACCTCCACGTCAGAACTCTCTCCACCTTTCGCCGCCGTCGTTGTCGCAGATTGTACTTGTTGCCACTCCTCGCGAATAAACTCGTTCTCTGCTTGCAGTTCCTCTATTCTCGCTTCTAGTGCCGCACGCTCGTCTGACATTCCACCGAAATTCTGCACCGCAAACGAAACGACAATACAAGTATGATAGGGGACAACACATCACACATCGCATTCAGTAACTAATCACACATCACACATCACACATCACACATCGCATTGTAACTAATGGGACTAGCACTACAATTTATTTACAAAACAAAACAAAGTATTCGCCAAAACTGGCAACACTGCCACTGAGGTATCAGCAGCTTGCATGGTCTACGCCACGACTTCCAATGAGATTCCATTGTTCTGCGGCCGCATCTGCGCAATATCCAACTACTCGGTTTCGCACCAGGACACCTCTCGCTAGCTGCACGAGTCTCCGGACGTTTTACGGCACGCACCAAGGATCAAAGCGGACACGAGAAAACTGACGAAGGTCTGCAGCACATCCGACGAGCACCACGATGAGACTCTTACCCTCGCACCATGGCCACTACCACTGACTGTCAGAAATCAATACCTAACATGGCTGTATGACCATGGAAAAGAAATGAACTGCACCACCACAGCTAGAAGCGCTACGTTACTTACCATGCCTTGGGAGTCTTGTCCCGGTAGCCGTTGCCGTTCGTACATTTCAATGATACTGCTCAAACGCTGGTTCTCTTCCAGCAAACTACTGAAGGCAACTGGCCGAGACATGTCCATACTCTGTGCGGTCTCCACGCCACCGTTCAGATTGCCCAGTGTTTCAAGCCTGTTCTCCACGCTCAGCAGCGCATCCTCGTATCTTTGTAGCTGCTCGCGGAGGATATCATTCTCCCTGCGCAACTCCTCACAGTTTCGGGCGAGCACGTCGGTTCCACGGAGGCGTGCGCAGGCTATCACTAGCTCGGATCGGGTCCTTTCAAGCTGCATCTGCAGGTCCTCCATATTGGTTAGTTCTACTCGCAAATCTTAGACGTACTGCATGAACCGCCACTGGAACAGATAGAAAAACGAAACTTCTCCTTCAGCTTCTCCAGCGGAGCAAAAAAACTCCCTTCCAAACCTGATACTCTTCTTTGTGATAATGGCTTCACTGTGGCCAGCACAACGATCGAAAATACTTTCCTACTGCCTCTGCAGCGGCTCTTCTCCAAATTGTCGACGTTCACGATGGCCGACTGGTTTATGTCCAGCATGTAACTGAGTCACGGAGAGCATGGTCAGGCCAAAGAAGTCTTGATTTCTAGCCTGCACATGTGTACTCTTGGAGTCTTGACCTGTGCGTGCACAATCACGCAGCAGGATCGCGAAACACAGGTCAGTGGTGATGACTGGTGGGGACCTGCAGACGGCCAATCCCGGGGAAGGGTCTGCTGGGGGCAGCCGCAAGAGTTATGAAGCACACACAGCTTTATTTCCGATTGTAGGCCTGTAAAAGTGTAACACTGTAGATCTACAACACGCACTGACAGTCTGTGCCAGTGCCACTTGCACTGCACTCGCGCGCTATCTCTATCACTATCAGTGTATGGTCACTGGTAGATCTACATGTACATCACAAATACACGCTCCGTTTGTGCGAACAAGGCCGATTGAGCTATGAGGACATCATGTGCGCGTGCGGCACGTTGTACTCTGTCATCATCAAGCTTGCACGCGCGCGGTGTCCTTGTGCGGCACGCATGCACGGTGCAGCCCACCTAACTTACTATGCGAGGGATGGAGAAAGCTGCTGTGCGAGGTCGCGCGCGTGAAAGTGGTTTGTCGCCGCGCACCCAGCTGATTTGCTCGCGCATGTATCATGTGTATGGTGGTACCCATATCACTGCACTGGCGCATGGCGCATGGCTTGGCATGATAAAGACGCCGTTGCGTGAGATCGAGAGTATGTCCGATGATCATTTGGCACAAGGACTTGGTATTTCGCATCGACGCGTAGACCATGATAGTTTTGCACATGACATACCAGAGGTTTGCTGTACTTCTGTCCTAGTGCACGTGATACTTGACCTGCTTCCACCGTCTTTGTCCCGCGATGAGTTGGCTTTTCCTTGGACGTGTGGTGTCACAGATTTTGGAGTTTCGAGTTTCGTTTGCCAGTTTGGCGCATAAGATTATGGCTTGCATAATCCAGTATGGAAATTATGACCTACAATCTACATCATTACATGGTGTGTGAGTGGCACTCGTAGCTGTCGATGAGATCTCATCGAGATCAATAGTACATACATACATCGTGTATAGTGTTGAGTCTGTTATCAGGTAATACTAATATTTAATAATATGTCCTACTGAAACAAGACTTAGTACACGTACTACTAGTAGTAGGCAGCAGTGAATGATTGATTGTGTTGCTTGCTAAAAGCACCCAACTGTTTGACTTTGCCAACTGTTTGACTTTGAGGCTACAAGTACAAACAACAAACAAGTAGCCGCCTTGGTTGAAGCATTCCCGGACACACCATGTTGTTCTGGCCGCCATCACAGCCCGTATCATGTCACTCTACTGTGGTTGGCTGGCTGGCTAGCTGTTTCAGTGTTTGTGGCGGCCATTACTAAGTGCGCGCTATTGTGTGAAAGGTTAAACTCCTGGCCAGGCCAATCGAGAACAGTGAACAACTTTACTTACTTCCGCCTTTCTATGCCTATGCCTAGGCTATGGCTACGTGGAAGTACAACTGACTGTACATGGACATGACTGTGTCAGTGTATGTACTATCCATTCCGAATTTCGGTTAAACGTCATTGTCACTTTGGTAGCGCTTTGTCTGTGGGCGGACGTCTAGCGTCTGTGCAAAGTATGTGTGTATGTGTGTTCGGG